TCCTCATTGCCCTCAGGCTCCAGCAACCCAGGTTGGGCTACTCACATGTATAGGTGCCCTCTTCATTCTGTTTAGGTTCTGATTCTTCATGTCACACACACACACACACACACACACACACATTTGTTCAGGCTATGAAAACCTGGCTCCCTCCTTGCTCCACCTTAATTGACACCCCACATCAGATCTCTTCCCTATGGAGATGCCCTTCGCATTCCCACTGAGTTCATGCTCATCCCACTCGGGCTCCTAACCCACATGGCCTCTCCTCATCCCGACCCTGTGGCCTACAGGCTAATCTGCCCCTTCAGGTGGATGCTCTTCTCCCTTGCTCAGACTGTGACTTCCCAACCTGGACCAATCCCATGTGTGCACTCCCTCCTCACTCAAGTTCTGATATCCCACACCAAACAGCCCCCACCATGAAAGCTTACCTTCCTCTATTCATATAATGGACTGGATTATTCAGGAAGGTGAGGTGCTCAGAAAATATTAACTACACCCTATGGGTATTTTTTTCATGAAATTCTAGTTTTAGTAATGTACACAGTATGTGTTGAAAGGAAAGTGACCATGACACTTGGAGCGACCAAGAGATCTTTATTATTGATAGTGTCATTAACAGAGAAGGAAGAAAAAAGAGAGAGAGAGAAAGAAATCGAGTGAAAGAGAGCAGGGAAAAAGAGAGGGAGAGAGAAAAGCAAGAGAGAGATTGGGGGAGAGCAAAGCATAAGAGAGAGAAAGCAAGAGAAGAAAGAGAGAGAGAGGGAGAGGGGATGAGAGAGAGTAAAAGAGAGGGAGAGACAACAAAGTGAGAGAGGGAGAAAGAGAGATAAAGAGAGAAGGAGGGTGAGAGAGAGGGGGCGGGTGACAGAGAAGAAAGGGGGGGAGGGGGAGTTTTTATAGCCAAAATCTAATGGGGTCTTTGAGTCTGCAAGCTGCCTTCTTGGCTACAATGATTGGATCATAGAGTAATTGCTAAGGGTGCCATCTTCTGCCATCAGGAAGACCGGGCAGGGGCCAGATGTGGGTTTTCCTTGCACCAGACAGGTGGAGTCGAGTGTTCAGCCTTGAGTGGGGTTGAGTGTTCAGATTTGAGGCAAACAAGGAGCCAGACACATAAGAAACCAGACAGATGAGGGTTGAGTGTTCAGCCCACCCTGCAGCTAACATTTGTTCAGCCTGCCCTGCAGCTAACATGTTAGCCCTGAGGTTCCTCCCACTAGACCCCAACTCTTAAAGTTGCCACCACCTTCCAAGAGCACCATGCTGAGTATCAAGCTTTAAACGCATGGGATTTTGGAGGACATTCTAGATTCAAACTATAGCAATGCATGTATTGGATGATGATGTAAAATATATTTCTTTCCATGGGCCTCAATCCAAAAAGTTTAAAAGCTGTGGCCCTAGAAAAATTCTACAATGATGGTGCTACTGGCCTCCCCAATTAATGTCTCACTGTACTCCAGATTGCTGTCTCCAGAGAGACCCCATTGTTTGTGTAAACATCCTGACCAAAAGGATGCTGCTTTCACGGCAATAGTACAACTTGTTGGGCCACTGAAAGTCAAAAACCCAAATTCTAGCTGTCTCAACCACTTTACCAGTCAAGCCATTCAGTTATTTTATACATTAAAAATACAAAAAAAAAAATTAAAGTGAATTTAAAAATCAGTAAAAATGCAGATGATGGATTGAGGGTATGGATGATGGACAAGTATTTACCTAATATGCATGAGGTTCTGGTGTTATGGTTTGGATGTGAGGTGTCCCCCAAAAGCTCATTGTGAGACAATGCTAGAAGGTTCAGAGGAGAAATGACCAGATTGTGGGAGTTCTAACCCAACCAGTTAATTAATCCCTCATGGGATTAACTGAGTGGCAACTAGAGGCAGGTAGGAGTGGCTGGAGGAGGTGGTTAATTGGGGGCATGGCTACAGGGCATATTTTGTATTTGGAGCCAGAGTCTCTCTCTCTCTGCTTTTTGATCACCATGATGTGAGCTGCTTCCCTCTGGCACACCTCCACCATAATGTTCTGCCTCACCACAAGCTCTGAGGGATGCAGCTGGCCTTCTCTGAACCGAGACCTCTGAAACCATGAGCCCTCAAATAAACTTTTCCTCCCCTATAATTGTGCTGGTCAGATCCTTTAGCAACAGCAGCAAAAAAGCTGACTAAAACAGCTGGGTTCAGTCTTCTACACAATACACACACATACACACACACACACACACACACACACATACACACAAATGCAGATGAGATTTGCTTTTCTCTCAAAGCATAAAATCAGGTAGTATATGAAAGTGCATTGAAAAATACAATAATTACTATAATAACCAATATTTAAGGATTGCATATATACCTCTGTATAAAAGTGCATGCAATTTTTTTTCCTTCAATGCAGTACTGGGGATTATCCCCAAGGCTTTGCACATGCTAAACAAAACACTCCACCGCTGAGCTATACCCCAAAGCCCTAATATATTTTAAAATGGAAACAATTTTTAAATATTTTTTTTAGTTGGACACAATACCTTTATTTATTTATTTTTATGTGATGCTGGGGATCGAACCCAGCACCTTGCACATGCTAGAGACAGGTTTTCACTACATTGTCCAGGCTGGTCTCAAACTTATATCCTCCTGCCTCAGCCTCCTCAGTGGCTGGGATTACAGGCCTATACCACCATACTTAGCTAAACCAGTGTTTGATTCCAGGTCTATTACACTCCATCCTCAAAAGCATTAAATGGCACTTGTAAAATGCTATGTGAAGAAAAGAGGTTTATGGCATTAGAAGGAAAGGAGCATATTTGCTCTCTGAACTTTGAATTATTTGTATGGAGAACTGTACCTGTTGCCATCCCCCCCCCCATAATAGTTCTTGAAAATTTGTGGGACTATTTCCTCTTCTGTGCAAATATAACTAAACGCAAGACTTTGAGGCTAAATGGGGCAACTCTGAGATGCCAATAGTGGCATCTGGTTCAGGGTCCTGGAGTGACATATCAGTATCCTTAGCTATAAAATGGCCACTATATTAAGGCCCTTTTGTAGTAAATGATGAATATATTGAAGAATGAACAAAGGAGCACCAGTTAGTTCTAGATCTCTGGCAGATTGGTGGGAAGGGGTAGTAAGCCAGGGAGCAGTGCCTTCAAGCGCCCAGTGGGAGGGGCTACCGGAGAGGAGGGCAGACCTAGGGGTCTCTGTCAATCTGGTATTCTCTAGGACTCCCTGCTGGGAGGATGGACAATCCTTAGAACATTTGGATTTGGAGGGATGCGGGCAGAAGTGCTTGGGGTTTGAGATTAGGCAAGAGAGGGCTCAGGGTTCTGAGTTCAAGAGACTGATTATGGGTATTTCTTCCCAGCCCTATGTCCTGAAAGAATGGTCAATGTGAATTTTTCTTTATACTAAGCCCTGGGCTTGGGGTTAGGGTTATGTGCCCTGCTCTTGACTGTTCCATAACTCCTGGATTGGCCAAGAAATGAGATTCAGAGGCCAGGCCTCAAGAATACAGATGGGGCTGGGGATGTGGCTCAAGTGGTAGCGCGCTCACCTGGCATGCATGCGGCCCAGGTTCGATCCTCAGCACCACATACAAAGAAAGATTAAAAAAATTCTCTTAAAAAAAAAAAAAAGAATCCACAGGTGATCTTATCTCACTAGTTCTTGGTATACACAATCATTGCTCTCTCCTATGGCTTGAGCCAGAAATCTCCCATTTCTGCTTTGCATAGACATTTTCACATAGCTTTTTCTCAGCATAAGACCTTGCTCCAGAGGCAGCTCAGCCAGGGCACTTGAAGCAGGAAACAAGGCTTGAATTGGAAAACCCTGGTTTGATAAATTAGATGCAAATATTTTATCATTTTATATAGGGGACTTGCACAATCGAGGACCTTGGTATCTGAAGGGGTTCTTGGAACCAGTTCTCATGGATACTGACAAATTACATACTTAGTCACCTAGCCTCTGAGTAGACCCTAATTTGGCAAATCAAACTCTAGGGATCTTATTCTCTCCATTCCCCCTGAAGCCCCATCCAGGCATGTCTGAAATAGTGTCAATGGTCATATCTTGGAAATGACCATTACAGCCATTTCTCAGGTCTGGAGTAGCTCAAGACTATATATCCACAGTCCATATTGAATAGGAATTTATATATTTTTGCAGTGCTGGGGATTAAACCCACACATGCTAGATAGCTCTGTCACTGAGCTACATTCCATCACTGAATAGGAACTTTTATTCTCAATTCCAGAGTGTCATGGATTGGGGAAACAATGAGCAGAAGGTTTTAGGTTCATTGGTGTTCTAATTGGATCTGGGCAGAGTAGCTGTGGCTGGGGTCTGGGTTTGAGCATGATGAGCCTGTTCTCCCACAGGGCTGGCCAGAGCAGCAGTGGAAAGAGAACTAAAGTGGAAAGAGAAAGTTGGGATATAACCAGCACTGTGGCATATGCCTATAGTCCCAGTTACTCAGGAGGCAGAAGCAAGATCAGGTGTGCCCAGGAATATGGAGCCAATCTTGGCAACACAGCAAGACTCTGTCTCTTAAAAAATAAGGCTGGGGTGGAGACAGGAAGATAGAATGTCCAGCACAGGATATGAGAATAGCTGGATCATGTCTGGGAGCCATAAGGTGGCCTCAATGGGAGCTGAATCCTCAGATCTGCCTGGGACATCTCTGCTGAGGTAATCTGGAGAGCTTCTCAGCAACAGAGATTGTTTGGCAAAGGACAAAAAGGGCAACAGGTGACAGCCTAAGCCACAAGAAGTAAAGCCTTAAGGAGTAAGTACATCTTCCACCCTGAGGAGCGCAATGCCGCCCCAACAGATGTGGAACTGCAGAAACTCCAGGAAGTTTCAGTGGAAGTGTCAGTGAAAGGCCCCTCTGTCCCTTCTACTGACAAAGACATCTATGCACAGGAGGGGCTCTTCTTCTCCAGGGACTGGGTGGATAGTTGAAGACAGAACAGAAGCCAAGACTCTAGATGCAACAGCAATTTTTATTCCCTAGGAACAAAGATACATGAGGAAGAAACTCCAAAAGAAAATAGGAGTATCAATGACAGAATGATACCAGGGTAGCTGGCTCTGGAGACAAGGATAGCATATTCCACAAAGGACCTGGTTACGGCCCTGGTTCCTTGGATCCATATTTGCCCATCCCCAAAAGCCCATTTCAGTGTTTTAGGGTGGGTCAGTGATGTGGAAAACCTGCCTACTATACACAAAGCAGATGAACACACCTGCCTATTCAGAGAGGCTCAGGGACATCAAAACCTCTCAAGAACAAATTAGGCACACAAGAACGAGGAGCCTGGGAGTCACAGACAACCTGAAAGGGATCACAGGGCCCACCATGGCTGACAGAATCGGTGCCCACATGGAATAATAAGGGAACAGTTGTCCTTTAAGGAGCTTTGAGCTATGCGGAGCTGGTGGAGCTGGTCAATCTTGTCAGATTGGGCCCCAGGAAAATTTTCCCCAGAAGTATGGTCTCTAACTTCTCCAAAGGATACTGGCTATGCTGAATCAGAAGCCATATCCCTTTCCCAGAGGATTTGCTCCTATGCTCATTATTGCACTATCCTTCCCCCTGCAGCCTGGTCCTCTAGAGAACAGACTGGCAAAGGATGAGGAGAAACTCTGCCCTCCTCTCACCCACCTGGAATGGGACAATTTCCATGGCAGGTGAGAACCTTTAAGAACAAGATCCTTTGGTGTAGACGAAGTCACCCAGTCCCATCCCTGCACTATAGTGTCCTCCGACTGCTGGCTGGCAGTGGGGATCTGTCCCCATCATAGAGAGGTCTCTTGGAGAACAAAAGTGGGGCTGCTGCCCTGGTGGGCTGAGCCATCCTGAGCCATCTCCTCCTTGTCTCTGCTGTCCCACAGCACTCCATTCATCTTCTTCTCCGGAAACAGGTCACAGTCTGTGGGGACATCCTGGGAACATGCAGAGCAAAGACAGTGGAGCTGGTAAGAGTGGGCAAGGGTGGTGAAGGGACACATGTAGGAAAGCAAGAGACCCTGCTTGGGTCCCCGCTAGAAGGGAGCCCGGTCAGGCCAGTGGGGGAGCAGGGGAGGAAAGGGAGGAGCACAGTGCAGAGCAGGAGTGGGATAGGGCAGCAGAAAGGCCAGGCTGAGCTGAGCTGATCCTTTTGCTCCCCGAGCCAGCTTGGCCTTGTGGAAGGGCAGCTGCTGGGGACAGTCCCTGTTTAGGCCCATGATTAGAAAAAGGAGTGCTGGAGACAGGAAAGGGGATAGGAGGGGACTTGGAAGGCAAGTGGCATCTGTGTGCAAGAGAAGGAAGTAGGTCATGTGACAATGGGTCCCACCTGGCTGTGGCTTTTGCAGCAAAGCCGCTTCTGACAGGACAAGGGCAGGAGGGAGAGAAGTCTTGGCAGCACAGGGTAAATGGTCCGAGGGTTCAGGGGCCGGCCCCGCATTCCCCCTGAAGGCAAAGGAACTTCTGAGTGACTTCTGGGGACCCTCCAGGGCAGCAAGTCCTTGGCTGTCTTCCCTTCAGCAGAAGTCTCAGCCTCCTCCCACCTCTGGGACCTCTGCTGGGAAGCCTGGCTGTTACCTACAGCCAAGGGCTCTGAAGGGCAGAGTCCTCAGGAGCCCCCTTGCCCCTCATTTTTCTGCACAGCAATACTAGATCCTTACCAGTGAGCAGACTGACAGTCAGGCCCACCACAATAACTGTGGTAGAGTTGTGAGCGCTGTACCATAAATAAGACAGAGAATAGAATCGCTGCAGCCCTGTGGGCCTGGAGAGAACAGAGGGGGGAGGACAATTAGCAACTGGTTGAAAGGGCATTCTTAGACACCTCATTCTATCCATCTGCAACAACACTTCCCAAGACAACACTTCCCTAAGTCCTCTGGTGGCCAATCCCTTAGCAAGGCCTGTTTAAGATCCTTAAAACTGAGTTTCTGCCCTCAAGGAGAAAGACAGCAAGCCCAGCCTCACTTAGAGAGGGTGGTTGAGGTCATCAGGGTGGTCACAGTAGTGGTGGTCAGATTGGTGGGCAGGCTGAAGATGGACCCATTAAGTGAAGGTGCAGTGCTAGAGCTCATGCTGGTCACTATGCTCCCAATGCCGATCCAGAAGGCCATGATGAGTCCCGCCAACAGGCCCACAATGGCACCCTGCCCAAAGACACAGTACACTTACTTGTCACAAGGCCAAACCTTCACAGTCTCCAGCCCCCCATCCTGAAAGCCCTGCCAACCCAGTCCACAGACCCATCCCATGCACATGACTGTGGACCCAGATACATCACTCACAGGAGGGTTGGCACAAGGAAAGAACATCCCAAGGCAGAAGAGTCCAAGCAGTGGCCCCCCGACCATGCCAAAGATGCTGATTGCTGCCTGGGGAGGACAGAGTTGAGGAAAAATGAGAAAAGAACACACCACCCACAATCAAAGACCCCAGGCTCACTGAGCAAGCACAACTACCCATCACTGCCTCATAGCCCCACTCATCAGCTGTCTCTCTCCTCCCCCTGGAACAGAGGGCAGAGATGACTGCAGGCATGTGCTCTGGATTCCCACTTCAGGCTGAGCTCTATGTTTCTCTAAACTGACAATATCCCAGAAGTAACCTGAGAGCTTTTTGCCACTTGAGAGTCTAAAGTGGCAAAAAGCTAAAGGTGGTCCATCAAAGGGGATTTCTGACACCTGCTCCTTAAGCCATGCCCTGCTGAAAATTTCCTGTTTCAATCAATCCCTTTTCTTCCTTACAAAGTATTTTCTTCTCTCCATAGTCATTACCTGCAGCACAGATCCCAAATGGGAAGAAATATAGGCCATTCCAAGACAAAGTATCCCATAGCCAAAGGCTGGGGAAAAGCACAAGGGAGAAAATAAGCAGATGTGAGCAAACACAATAAAAAGAGAGAAAAACAATACAACTACCCAACCAAGCCACCACTCCTGGAGCCCTGGAAAGAGGGCACATATTCCTCATGCCCAGCTCCAGGTCCCTCTGCCCATTCTCAGTGCTGTGACTCAGAAACCTCCCCCAGGAAACACTCTGAGATATATAAAACCATGGGGTGAAGGCTGTGGGCTTCACCAGGCAACTGGTGTGCCCAGGATAAAATAGGTGCTGACAGTAGCCAGGGTGTATCTCAGAAATAACAAAACTGACAATATGGGGAAGTGTAACCCCACCAAGGCTTCTGGAAAGCACGATGGCCCGGGCCTCGCAGAACTCAGGGAACCAAGGTTGAATCAGGTCTTCCATCGTAACAGTTGCCAATGAATTAAAAGCAGAGGATATGGTGCTAGAAAAAAGAGAATGAGGAACAGCACTGTGCCCAGGAGCCAAGATAGGCAGAACTAACAAGGGACTCCACAGAGAGAACAGGGCCCAAAAGGTGACAGAGATGACATATGCAAACTAGACCTCATAGTTGGAACTCGGGATACTTCAGAGGAGGTCTGGAAGGCAAGGACTCTGTCCCTTGTTGATTTTTCTTTTTCTTTTTTTTTTTGGCAGCACTGGGGACTGAACCTAGGATCACCCATGTGGTAGGCCAAGTGCTCTACTACTGAGCCCCAGACACTGTCCTTTTCGGATGAAGGTAAAGCTTTTGTTGAAGTTAATCGATTCCTGACATTATAAAAAGAACTCTTAATCAAAACAGAGCATCATCTGCAGAGGCTGTGGTCTTATACAGCTGGACTATATCTTGTCATCCACAATGGATGGCACAGTGAGAAACTCAATGGGATCCCTCCTCCACCTGTCCCCTTGGAGTAGGAGCACCACACCTGAGGCAAGTGGTCAAAGGCGATACCTGAGGGAGCCACTGAAGAGGCAGGCAACAAAGAGCCCAGGCAGGCCTGGCAGACCTTTCAGGATGTCTATCACAAAGTAGAGGACGAACTGCAAGCAGAGCAGAGTACATGGACCTCCTCAGAAGGGTGCCTTCCCCAGGTGGGCTGTGCACGGAAACCCCTCTGCACATGCCCCAGCAAGTCCCCAGAGCCTGGTGCATCAGGATAGGGAGTCAGATACACAGGCATCTGCTACTATAAGTGACCTCCCCCAAGTCAACAGAAAAGGGGCCCTGAAATGAGAGTGACACATGGCAGCACAAGTCCCAGTTCTGCCTCTGACTATCAGTGTGATGTCAGCACACTGCCTATCTCACCAAGGCGATTTCTCCTCTATAAAATGACACTTCTGGAAGGCTTACATAAGACCAGGCATATGACAACTCCTGGCAGAGCATGTCGTGCATAGTGAGGGACAGGTTAAAAGTAACCTTCTCCCCATGCCCCCACCCCGGCAGGATGAGCACTAATTAGGTGATGACTAGGGCTGGCATCTCACTCTCTAGACTATTGGAACCTCAGAGTTAGAGAGGACTTTTCCTCCATCTTCCATCCAGGCCCTGGGGCTTTTCTGTAGCTACTCAAACTATCTGCTTGGATGCCAGGTCTGGCCTCTCATGGGCACAGGAGGGAGCTGGAGAGGCCTTCTCACTTGGTCAGGAGCTGCCTGAGACTGCTGGGTACTCATGGGATTCTCCTGGTAATAGGCGAACATGACCAGGCCGATGAGGCAGCTCATGCAGAGGACCAGCTGCTGGCAGGGGAACACCGCATAGCAGGAGCTGCAAAAAGTCAGTGCCAAGGGGTAAGGCTGGGTTAATGGGCACCATCAGGCACACCCTCCTGAGCCTTCAGAGAGGAGGTCTACTTCCTGGCTCCAATGGATGCATGTGCACCCTGCCATCCTGCCCCACCTCATGCATCTCCAGGGAACCCCCTCCTCTACTGCTTTCTGACCCCGCACTCACAGCACAGCAGCCTTCTCTGTGCGGGAACTGAGGTAGCGCTGCACCTGAGCCTGGTTCACACCATATAAAGAGAGCATCATAAAGACTCCCCCAAAGGCCAAGGTCCAGAAGGTGTGCCGCACAAAGGGGTCAGGATCCAGCCTGCAACAGATGCCACCCAGCCACCATGTCAGAGGCCCAGACACCAACTTGGCTTTCCTATCCTCCTGGAAAGAGAGGTAAGTGGACAGCAGAGCAAAGCGCCACTGCTATGCTAAGAGAATGATTTAAGACAAGGACCTGGATAGACTCAAGAGATAGCACAGCAAGCTGGAGGGAGAGTTCCTTCTTTTCAACCCCAGCCTCGTCCCAGGTAGTCATCCTGGTACCATCCTGATCCTCCACAAACACACCAGCAGGGCATCTGTGATCACCGTTCCTCTCTGTAGTGCCAGTTTCTTGTCCATGCAGTGTTGCACCTGAGCTTCCCAGCATGCCCTTTGCTTATGATGCCCAGATACTAGGTTTTAGGATGGGCTTGGATCCCAGATACTGCAGACTGCAGTCAGGACAAAGTGTGTACTTACTCAATCCCAGAGATACGGCCGTGCTGGGAAGCCACATCCCACACATGCCCCAAGCCTCCTACTTTGTTCGACCCCACAATGATGACTGCCAGCTGCCCTAAGAACATGACCAGTGTCTGGAACACATCTGTCCAGATGACAGCCTTCAGTCCACCCTGCAGAGAAAAGACAGCACACCTGCCAAATATATCTTCCACATCATCCACAGGGAGGACACAACCAGCGAGGAGGCTACACAACTTTCCAGCAGTAATCACTGGGACTCCACTGGCATCATTCCCATCCTCACTCCTACCTCCCATCCTAAATCTCATCTTCCGTCACCCCAACCTATCTGTAGATTTCATCCCATCGCCTCACGACTATATTCTTATCTCATTCCTTTTCTTTCTTTTTTTTTTTTTTAGTTGTAAATGAACACAAGACATTTATTTATTTATTTATTTATTTTTATGTGGTGCTAAGGATAGAACCCAGTGTCTCACACTTGGGAGGCAAGCACTCTGCGACTGAGCTAAAATCCCAGCCCCTCATCCCTTCTTTATCTCTCAGGCCTTACTGCACTTACCAATGCAGTATAGATGTTGCAGACGATGCCCAGGGTCAGCACAGACAGCCACAGATCAAAGCCAGTCACTGTAAGCAGATATAAGTCACACTCATATCTCTGGAAGAGGGTTTCCCAAGACAGAAGCCGGAAGAGCCCTGGTGAATGCAGCTACGCTAAGTCATAGAGATGAAGCAATTAGTCATTAAAGACAAAATAAACCATTCTCAATGGGGAAAAATGTTTGCAGAGCTCCACCAAAAGGTGTTGATTAACCAATTCAGGCGAGGCATAGTAATGTTTGATCAGCTTTCAAGTAAGGTGAACGAATCCTGCTTCTACCTGATAGAAGCCAACCCAAGGGCCCATGCAATGATTTAACTCCCTGTCCAAAGTTAGGTTCTTATGGCACATTGCCCTTCTTTGACCCTCCCAAAGGTGTTTTCCCAGACTGCCACTGCTGGAAGCCAGGGGCCTGACTCCTCACCTGCATTGAGGGCCAAAGATGGAGCATAGAGCACGACCCCCATGTAGATCACCTGTTGGATATGCGAAAGGATGCGATGGGGAGAGGAGATGCAGGTGGGATGAGAGAAGGATGGACCTCAGCTCCAATTTCCCCAAGATTTCCCCTTTCCTAGTTCACTTCCCTCTCCCTTCTCCTCCCAATGTCTGGCTTAATATCACCCTGGTACCTATGGTAGCATTGGACAGAATGGGCAGCAGGGGGCTGCTAATGGCTTCTATGACATTGACCCCTCACAGGAATTTCAATCCTGCCAGTCTGAGAGCAGGGAAAACTCCATCTCCCTCAACATGCCTAAATTCAGCTCTCTACATGCCCCGGGCTCAATTTCTATCACATTCCACCTACCATCTGAAAAATGAAGGTCACAGTTCCACAAACCCGCACTGCTTTATTGAATCGGAGCTCCAAGTACTAGGTAGGAATACACAGAAAGAAAGGTATGGCATTCCTCCCAACTCTGCCCTCCACAACACATACCCCTTCCCTCAAAGACCCAGGAGGGAACATCTAACGCATGTCTACTCTAAGCCTTCCTCAGCAAGGCACTCCCCAGACTCCCAGCCCCACCTGGACTCCATCCAGGAAGAACTGAGAAACTCAGGGGAATTCTCTGCCATCTTCCTTGGATGGCGGTGATCTAGGGCCCTAGATTACCTCATGTATGTCCTGTCCTCTTCTCCATTCATATCTCTGGAGGTCCCCATGCCTCCCCCAACCTTCCCTGCTCACCTCATAGGCACTGGTGAGATTCAAACGGTAGAAGATGGGGATGAAGATGTGAGCAGGTATCAGCAGCCCTAGGAAGTAGGAGCAACCCAGGAACCAATACTGGGTCCCAAATCGGTAGATCTCAGATGGAACTCCCAGGATGGCAACAGCTGACTGGAAGGTGGCTAGCAGGGACAGCGCCACAGGAAAGCAGCCCATTTTGCGATCTGCCATCAGCAGTTGGCCAACGGTATGGCGGCCCCAGCCACGAAAAGCATGGTAGAGACCAATGGCCAGGGAGAGAAGCAACAGCAGAACAAATACCACATAGTCCACAAAGGAGAAGGTAGATGTGGCCACGCTTGGGTGCGAGGTTGAGAGGAGGGGGGCTGCGGTGCTCATCGTTACACTCATCCTCGAAGTGTCTGTGGTCTGCAGCCAGGTGCTGCTCCTGGGTTCTGGGCTGCCACTCAGGCAGCTTATAAGCTGGCTCCCAGCCACGGTTATCACAGTCCTCCTCTTCCACCCAGTGACATGGTCCAGGGTGAGCTGCAAGGAGTCAACTTCTAGTCAAGCCTATTTTGTTCCATACCTGTTAGACTTGCACCAGACAGTGTGGCGATAACTACCTGTGAAGGCCTGGGATGGGCTGGTTAGGGGAAATCGGAAAGGGAGGAAGCAGCAGAGTAAGAGAGCCAGGAGACAATAATTTGGCTAAGACCTTTGGGTGTGCAAAGCTGTGAAATTCAATAATATTCTTGGGCCTCCACCTAAGTAGCAAAAAGAAAAATCAACTCTAGCTCCAGTTTCTTTTCAGAATTAATATAAACTTTGCCTTGTAGGCAAAGACCCAGTCACCATAATGTACTAAGCTAGTAGAGCCCAGCCTGGCGCCACAGCCCTGCAGGGAAGAAGAAATGGAGAACAATGACAGCAGGGCTTCCCCTGTTCCCCTTGCCTCAGCCTTACCTCCCATGATTCCCAGAATCACCCTTCTAACAGCACCAATTCTCAGCACTGCTCAACAGTGAGCTTGCCTCCATGGCAGCCCAAACTCCATTCTAATCACTCTGTGCCTTTTCCTTTCTCTCCAACACTACTCAATCAACCTGATACCCAATTTCTCAGACCCTCCACCTGCCCTACCAAGGTCAATAACAGATCTGGAAAGAATGATGGGATTCCAAAGTGAGAGGCAAGGTGCCAGGGCACTGTGCTGGAACCAAGGATTGAAGATTATGATTCCAGAACCACTGTGGACAAAAGCTAACCAGCTGGGGAGAATGTTCGCACACTGCTGTAGGCAGACACCTACCTGGAGAAGTAATCCCTGTTCTGTGGCAGAGCTGGGCAGAGGTGGAGTGTCTGGCTCTATAAAGTGGCTAAGAAGAGACCAGGAATGAGGTGTGGGGAAAAGCTCAAAAGCTATTTGTTCTAGTCCATCCATGCAGGGAACCAATCACTGTGAACCAAATGGCCCTATCACCCCAACTCAGATGTTCCAAAATGGGAAGCAGTGAGCTCATATTCAATAGCATTCCTAGATGGATTAGGCTTTCGGCCTAAGTCACTCTTGGCACCTTGTGTGCTGGAGGGAGTTAGAAAGGAGGAACTGAGAGAAAATGGGAAAGTTGCTTTTCTAACTCCCACACAAAAAATAGTAATCCTCCAAGAACACACAGAGAAGCAAAGATGGAACTGCAGAATTTCAGCATTTAAAGAAATCTTAGGTGATCACTATTATATCCTCCTCATTTCACAGATAAGCAAAGGCCCAGATTATTCAAGTGAACTTTTCATAAGCACAGCCAATTGTTGTCAGAGGCCAGATCAGAACCAGAATCTAATAATTCCCCCATCCATTCTGCTCTCCATAAATATCATCTTGTCTTCAGAACCTATGCCCTAGGAGTACTTATTGGTATGGAGGAAAAAACACCAGAGTGTCATGTATTTAGATAGCATAACATGACGACAGTTAACATTTTCTAAACATCTGCTATATAGCCCAGAAGTGTGCTAAGTGCTTTGCTCTCATTAGTAACACTAAATAATGAAGTTATAATGGCTGATGCTTTCAAAATACCATTTCTCAGGTTAAGACAGGAATTTTTCACAAGGTAATTGAAACAAATAATTTGCTTAAGGTTATGCAGTATGATACAAAACAAGGGAGAAAAAAAAATAGTGCTGTCTAAAGGAAGAGTATTGTCTGTAACTATGACAGGTGAGTCACCAGAAAAGATCTGTCCTTACTACTCCAAGAAAGGGCAGGAGCTGAGTGTTAACTATAGTCAATCATTCAAGACACATAGTTTACATTTCAACTAATCTAGAGATAGATTAATATAAACTGTGTCTTCTGGTCCTGCCCACTGGAGGGAAGATCAGGCCAACCTTTAGCTCTCCAGAATTCTTGGGCATATGCTATCTGGTTAGCAAGGAATAGACTGAATCTGAACTTGGAACCTCTTGGGACCAATGAAAAGAAGAAAGAGCTGGCAACTATTGGGTCACATGTTTACAGTCACGAATGCTAGTGTCTAGAAAAAAGTTCTGAACAGATCACTCTGGTTTAATCTAAAGATGCCCAGGGCATTTTTATGTTGCAACATCTTGAGTTTTCTTGTTCCTCTTTGACAATTTTTACTGCTAATGATAGAGATGATGGGAACTACTAGAAAGAGATGTCTGCTATGTGCAACAAAGAACATGTAGAACTAAATGGTTAATGGTACTGATAGGCAGGTGGTTACAGAAAGGACTGGGACACCATACTGCTGAGGTAAACTGATAGGCTTCCTAATAAAATTCTATTTGCCTGAAGTACAGAGAACCCTCCTGGATGGCTAAAGAGAGCCAGGAAAGACAGGAAAAAACAACAACAACCCAGTAACAAAGCCTTCATCGAACACAGTATAATTCTAGGAACAGAGCAGTGGCTTTCTAAAAACCCTACACTGATAAAATCCAATGGACTTGCCAGACAGTTGGAGTCAAAAAGAGGAACCAAGTTGTTTCACTAAAACTTCAACATACCAAGGTACAAACAGCTCATGGGGGCCCCTTTTAAAAAAGCCTTACTCACTTTGGTCGCACATTGCACGGGGAATGCTTTGACTCCTACAAAATGTAAAGGACCCACTGTAGGATCAACTTCTCCAAAAATATTCTCTCAAAATTTGTCTTGTGTCTAAAATTCCTCAAGGTCTGAAAAGCTTGGGGCTTCTTATCAAAATGCCAAGATCGGATTTTAACATCTTGGAAAATGTGCCTGCCATCCAAATGTAAAATGCAAATTCCGAAGATTCTCAGGTATAGGTACCTAGTAATAGACACCTGGGAGAACACGAAGGGAAGGCTCTGCTGGCTACTCGAGATGAGTTCTGGTTGGCTTCAATGAGCTTTTATTTTTTTGGGGGGAGAGCAGGGGGGACGCTAATCAAAGCAAAAACTGTTTCTCCAAAAGCAGGCGTCCCCTAGCACCCTTCAGTCAGAACACCGGCTACCCTGGGACACTGCTGCCTTGCCTTACCTCCGTTCTTCAGCCAGGGCTAGGAAGGTCCCTTCTTTCTTTCCGAACTCAGCATCGCTCCCTGTCTTTGGAAAGGAAAAGAGAGAGAGAGAGAGAGAGAGAGAGAGAAGGGCACGTCTGTGTTGCCCCAAACTCCTCGCTATGCTCTGGGACGCCGCGCGGTCTCAGGATTGAGGTGAAGGCGACTTGGCACCCGGGGCGTTCCCAGGCTCGTGTCCTCCCGCCCGTATTTGCCCTTCGCCCTCCGCTCCTCCATCACCCTTACCCTCTTTCTTTCCCGGCTTTCCCCTGCCCTCCACACGTGCCGAGCTCACCTTTTAACTGCTCGCACTTCAGATCTCCAGTCCCCACGCTTAGGGACAGTCCGCTCCGCCCCTACCAGTCCCTCCTCTCCCGCCCAGAAACTGTTCTGCCCAGCCTCTTCGCCCCCGCCCACTCCGGCCCGGCCCAGCCCACCTGCCGGGTCTCCACACGTGGATTGCTGGAGGGCTGGGCCCGCGGCGCCCAGGCCGGGTGACAGCGGGGCCCCGCCCCCTGCCCGCCCCAGCCGCTGTGCCGCCATGTTTACTGAGGGCGGATGGAGAGGCCCGAATCGCTGCGGAGGCTCAACCTTGGCATCTGGACTAGCAGAACGCGGGCCGGAGAGAGTCTGCAGTCGGCTCAGGGGAGCTGAGCGGCTACAGGGGCGTATGCCAAAGGGGGAAGTGAAAAGGCGAGTGGGTCTGTCCACCCCGAATGAGCACTGGAGCGCACCGAAACTAGCACGGAACTCGTAGAGATGTCCGCCCCTCGGCGACCTGACCCGTCCGACTAAGCCACGCCCCTAGGCGATTGCACTAGAAGGGTTAGATCACGCACCTTTAGAGGGCGTGGCGCTCCGGAGGCGGGACCCCGCGCTGCTCTCGCGAGCTGTCAAGGAGGTCGGAGAGGGCGGAAAATGGCGCCTATCGTTCCTAGTAGTGGTGCAAGCCTGGTTTCCAGGGCTATGGCCCTGCTCCTCGCTCTGGGCGTGGAAAGGGCTCTGGCGCTACCCGAGGTACAGAAGCAAATTGAAGCCGGGCTGAAGTAGGGTTTGTTGACCCTCTGTGTGTCGCGCTTGCCCGCGGTTCTCCCCTCCCTCTGCCGGCTCAAGCTCGGATTTCCTCCTCGAGGCCTCCAGATCCTAGTCCCAGGAATACCCCAAACGGATCCTACTCCCGAGTACTCACAGTACTCACGTTGCCCAGGCCTCCGGCGCCCTCGCCTTGCCCACATTCAAAGACCTATGAAATTCGACCTCCTCTCTCCTCAGCCTTTGAATAATTTTAAATTCTTCGTGCGGATGAGTCCTATGACTCTTTTGCAAGCTGTCCAGTCACGAATGCCGTGCGTGGTGCGGTGATAGGACTATTCTTTCTGTAATGCTTGACGAGTTCTTGGTGTTCCTGCAGTCCTTTTACGCTCGGCTAAACTGGGGCTGCCAAGATGCGAAGTCTCTGGAGAAACCATAGTAAAAACCTTGTGTAGTAATCCTCAAAGATAAAGATCTTTCCTGTGTGAAGACTGGTACTGAAAATCTGACGCACTCATTCAGCGCCCAGCTTTAGGAGAAGAAATGGCATCTCCTAGTCCAGCCTGATAAAAAGATATGACATGAGCCATCTCCCCTGCGTTAGAAGAATTCTGGAGAGGTGTACAGGCAGTGAATTCTTGATCCTTGTTTGTTCTCTTGGCTTTTCTTTCTACAACCCTAATAAGGTTTCTTTCTCTTCTGCAGATATGTACCCAGTGTCCGGGGAGTGTGCAAAATTCGTCAAAAGTGGCCTTTTACTGTAAGCAGACTCCGGAGCTAATGCTGCACGCCCGCTGCTGCCTGAATCAAAAGGGCACCATCTTTGGGTGAGGGAGTAGAAGACATCCTTGGATACCGGAAAAGAGTTTCAGACCTAAATCTACAATCCTTGCCAGATTGGGTTTTGAGATAAATATTGGTGCCTAACCGTAGGCATCTAAACCATGATCCTCAAACTTTTAAATTTGTTATAGCGTTTTTGGCTAGGTAAACAATCCTGTGCTTCCTGGATGAAACTGCTTAAAAGTCATAGTTTGGGCCTTTTTAAAAATAGGCTTTTATGCTGGGCTCTGTGGTGAATGTCTGTCATCCCAGCGGCTCAGGAGGCTGAGACAGGAGGATGGAGAGTTCATAGCCAGACTCAGCAAAAAGCAAGGCACTAAGCAACTAAGCGATACCCTGTCTCTAGCTAAAATACAAAAAGGCGCAGTGGGGGGGGGGATGCTGATGTGGCTCAATGGTTAAGTCCCTTTGGTACCGAAAAAGGGCTTTTATGGCACCATTTTGAAAAGAGCTTTGTTCTTTTGTTTATTATCAAGACTTGGGTTATTTACTGTGTGTCTGGAAGAGATTCTCCCCTTATTCTCCAAGACACTGGCTTTTCTTCCTTTTCTGATTAATTCATTTTTTCTTTAGGACAAATTCCTCTTCCTGGCCCTTTTTTCAGGTTAACTCCTCAGATTCACTCCTTGGCCTGGCTGCCTTTTTCCCTTTACACTTTTTTTTGGGGGGGGGCGGGATCTGCCTATTCTTTTTTTTTTTTTTTTTTTTTTTTAGGGGAGGGTATGGGGGATTGAACTCAGGGGCACTCGACCACTAAGCACATCTCCAGCCCTATTTTTTATTTTATTTAGAGACAGGATGTCACAGAGTTGCTTAGGGCCATGCTAAATTGCTGAGGCTGGCTTTGGACTCTTGATCCTCCTGCCTCAGCCTCCCAATGTGTGGGGATTATAGATATGTGCCATCCTGCCCAAGAATCTGTCTATTCCTAATGGCTTCAACTATAGCCATCATGCAAATCTCTCCCCAAATTAGGTATCTTTTAGTGACCTTTGACTTCTTCAAGCTCCAGGTACATGTGGGTATCTCTAACCTATTAAACATTTCTTCCTGGGTACACTCTAAACTTCAAATTGGAAAATGTCATGCCTTGCTCTCATTCTCTTCTTTCCCTAATCTACCTAAATACTTCCTGTGTTAAACTTTCTGAAAGCCAATTTTTTTCATTATTATTATCTTGCTTTCATATTGTATGTGTAACTATTTCTTGCCCACAGGATACAGGTGAAATCACGAACTACCATAACTAGTCCCAACCTGTTTTTCCATCATTTAAATTACTTGCCCACTCAAACCCTCCATAAGGTCTAGCTCCAGCCAGACTTGCCTCCTCCCCAAAGGCATTCCATTTTTGTTAGTTTCTTCATGCCTCTTTCCATAACTAAAATTGCATTCCTCCACCAAGTTAGGACGTAGCAATACTTAAATTCCAACATCCTTTGTAAATACTCCCTACTACCACATCCCAGAGTAATATCTTTTCCCTTGTAACACTTAGTGTTTATACCATTCAAATTTCTGTATATGGTCTCCTATGATTTCTTTCATATTGTAATTTAATGTATTCATTTTTAGTGTTTTTTTTTAAAGTTATGCTCTTGTTCCCCTACTACATTGTAATCCACTTGAAGACTAAGATACTGTGTTATATATATTTTGTCCTCTCCTAATTTTTGCAGTTTGTAGTTACTCAGTAAATTTTCCCCCCCGGTACTGGTGATTGAACCTAGGGGAGCTGTGTCACTACGTTTCATCCCCAATCCTGCTTATTTTACACATCTCATTAAATTATACCTGTTGGCCTCAAGCTTGTGGTACTCCTGCCTCAGTCTCTCAAGATGCTGGGATTACAGGTGTTCACCACTGCACATGGCACTCAATAAGTGTTTGTAAAATAAAGGACTGGAAAGCAATAGGTAGTGAAGAAAAAATAGCATGTCATGGAGTTTAATGTCCAGGAGTTTAGAATCCGTCTGTAATAGAAGTTGCACTTGGAAAAAAACTGTATATGATACATTTTTTTTTTTAATTTAAGTGTCTTCTGTGGATCTGAGAATCGATATAAGATTCACTAATCTAACAAGAACAAAATTTCTTCCAATATTTGCACAGTGTATAGAAAAAAAGTATTAGAACAGTTTAGTCCAATAGAATATTCTGTGATAATGGAAATGTTCTAATCTGTACTAAACAAAACATAGCCACTAAGGTGGTTATTTCACATGCACTTTGAAATGTGACTAATGTAAATGAAACACTGAATTTTTAGACTAAATTAAAGTAACTACATATAGCTAGTATTGATTGTGTCAGATAATGCATGATTGAAATGTCCACTACAACACCTAGTCTGTGGCTCTAAACAATTATATTCAATTACCATTAGCTGAAATGGGGACTGCATAATCAAATACAAACCTTGCCTTGGATTTAAAAAAAAAAGATACATAGTTATACCAATTATTTTATTTCCTCAGATTGGATCTCCAGAACTGTTCTTTGGAGGATCCTGGGCCAAACTTTCCTCAAGCATATACTGCTGTTATCATGTAAGTGGTTAGGTTCCCTCTTGCCCAAAAGGTGAATATGATAAAGTATTGATAGGAAAATCTTTGGGGATGGACCCTTTAGAAAGTAAATGAATATTAATATTGGATAATCAGGAAAAAGATACTTTCCTGAACAGTGTGTACTTTGCAGAGACCTTCAGGCAAACCCTCTCAAGGATAACTTGGCCAACACCTTCCGTGGCTTTATCCAGCTCCAGACTCTGTGAGTAACAGGATAGGGCAAATGCTACAAATTCAACAACTTTGGGCTGCATTTTCTTTTTCTTCTTTCTTTTATTTTATTCTTTTTGGTGTTGGGGATTGAATCTATGGCTCTTGCATGTTAAGCATTTGCTCTACCTCAGAGTTACGCACGCCCTCAGCCCCTCAGGTTGCATGTTATGATCACCTATGTTGTCTTCAGGGTACTGCCACAAGGTATAAGCTGTCCTGGGGGTAATGATGCCTGGAAACAAGTTATCTCTCATAAAGACAACAAGATCTGCCAAGGGCAAAGGAACCTTTGCAATAGCACTGGAGACCCAGGTATGCTGTCTTATCTCCACCCTTCTGAGCATTTCCTTTCCTCCCTTATGTTATCTGTTTTACATCAGAAATATAATGATACTTAAGTTGTCTTTTGTTTGAAGATCTGAGGCTTTAACTCTTTGGAAAGAAAAGATCTTAAATATTATTATGTTCTGATTATTTGTATTCTGAGAACTAAGTTAAAGCACATATTTTGGAATAAACCTGATTCCATTCAGTGATGTTCTCCTTTCTTTCTGACTTCCAGAAATGTGTCCCGAGAATGGATCTTGTGTAGTTGATGGTCCTGGTCTCTTGGAGTGTGTTTGTGCTGATGGCTTCCACGGATACAAGTGTATGCGCCAGGTGAGGATTTGACCTTCTTATTAGTAATAAAAGGAATGCATAGGGCAGGAACCTCTCTTAAAGGAAAGCCACAAGAAGCTGATGCTAGTTACCTAGAGAAGAGGAGCTATAGGGGAATTGCCCAGAATGAACTAGGTGTTAAGATGTAGTCTTCTGTGCAATGAATGCTGTGTAATTTTTTTTTTTTTTTTGGTTAATCACAGGGCTCCTTCTCACTATTTATGTTCTTTGGGATTCTGGGATCCACCACACTGTCCCTCTCCATTTTGCTTTGGGGAACCCAGCGCCGAAAAGCCAAGACTTCATGAACTACACAGGGCTTCCTACTGACCTAAGATCATCCTGATGTATATAGCCCAGCAAGGAAGATTTGTTAACTTGACGGGCATCATTGACCAACGGACCCTCCTAAGTCTGAGGGTGCATTTGGAAGGAAAAAGAAAAATTGCACTATGCCAGTGTTGGACACTCTTGAGTCAGGAATGAACCAGTACCAGTTCCCATTTGTGCTGTTGACTACAATAAACATTAAAAAAAAAAAAAAAGAACTTTTCCCCTTTTTTTTTTCCTCTTTTTTCTTTTTTACATTTTAGGGAAAGGCTGCTAGTCTTTCGTGTTTCTTGCTTGGGGGGGCAGCTTCGTGGAGGCCGAGTTTTTCAGGTCTCGCTGGTTTGGCGCAGCGGAGACGACGCGGGACGACGCGGGCGCACCTCGAGCCCCGCCCCGAACGTGCCCGGCCCCGCCCCTCACGCTGCCTGCTGCTCGCGCCGCCGCAGTCGTGCAGTCGCGGAGCGCGCCTAGGGCTCTTACCTCGCGGCGCCCGCCTTCTCTCTAGCGCTCTGTGCTGCTAGCCACGTGGACCGACTCCGGCGCGCCGCCCTCGCGTGGTTCCAGTGGGGCGTGCAGCGCCTCCTGCGTCTCTGGGTTCACCCCTGCCTCAGCTCGGTTCCCATGGCGGCCCTGGTGTTGGAGGACGGGTCAGTGCTGCGGGGCCGGCCCTTCGGGGCCGCTGTGTCGACTGCCGGGGAAGTGGGTAAGCAAGCCCGGGCAGGCTGCCGACCGCATCCCCTCAGATGCCCTTCTACCCAACCCGAGGTGCCCAGGCCCCACCTACACACTCCCTCATCCCCATCGGTGCCACGGCCCCGGCCCTTTCACCCCTCACCATCAAGGCAGCCTCCACGAGGGTAACCTCCGCTGTGGCGATGTTGTGAAGGGTGCCCTTGCCCGAGTCCAGCTGTGCCTCTTTTTGCAGTGTTTCAAACCGGCATGGTCGGCTACCCCGAAGCTCTCACTGACCCTTCCTACAAAGCACAAATCTTAGTGCTGACATATCCTCTGATCGGCAACTATGGCATCCCCCCAGATGAAGTGGATGAGTTCGGCCTCCGAAAGGTAGCCACGCCCAATCCTTTCTCTCTACATTTCTTTTCAAATCTGTAGTTGTTAACTGTTGGTGAAATGACGACATTGACACCCTGCTAGGCATCCTGGAAAGAACAAAGATACCCGTTGAAGCGGTAAATACTAAGACAACTGTAGTTAGGGGTTGTTAAGTACCTGGAGAAGCGCAGAGTGCAATATTTTGTCTGTAGTGAAGGCATGGATCCAGGAAAGTGGCAAAGGGATTGGGAGAACAGTTGTCCAAATAGCTAGGAATGCAGAAATAAAAGTCCTGCAGATAGGTTGTAGTGAGTGTGGAGGGCTTAAAGCCAAATCAATTTGAGCTTAATTTTTTAAGGAACCAGCAAAGGATTTATAACAGTAGAATCATGTGAGGAGAGCTGGGCTCCGGCATTACATAAATTAGTAGGAGATTGGAAAGGGTCATTCCTTTCTGGGTGACAGTGGGTACTAGTTTACCTACAAAACCAGTGACATTGATTATTATCCTTTAGACTTCTTACATTGCCTTTTCTCATTTTCTACTTTTCAAGTGTTTTTATTCTAAATTATAAAATTGAATCTCCTGCTAGAGTGAGATTTCCCTAGTCTTTCTCCTTGGAATTTGGGAACTAAGTTGCCCTCTGAGAGTTCAAGTAAAAAAAAAAAAAAGAACCAACACATAGCAGTTAGGTAATAGTGGACGTCACCATAGCCTAGATTCATTATTCCTCAAAACTTACTTTGGCCTGATTCTAGGCTTGCTGAGCCTTTGATTCTTGATTTGCTCTCCTGGCAAAAGGGAGCACTGAATAAGAGATACTCTCATTGTTATTCCTGAAAAGAACCCTTCTTCATTATAAACCTTTAAACACACTGCGTTCTAGTTTATAATGCAATATCTTGTGAATTTGATTAACATATGTCAGTCATCAACTTTATCAGCTGTGGACACACCGACAAAATTGAGTTTATAAAACTGCAAAATTGAGATCCTGATAGGGTCAGTGGAAGAGAGGCCTCCTAAAACCTTAGCCCAACACTGATACTTTTGTGGCACGTGTGCTGTAAATGGACTTGCACATATGTGGATTAAATCCATCTTCCTTTAAACCTTTCACCATTGAGCTGAATGTGATATAAGTGTGCTACTCCCTCCCACAGAAACTTTGTTTTGTTATTATTTATTAACAAAGTTGTGTTATACTTTTTTAAATGATAATCCCTAATAAAGTGGGAAAAGAATATGATATGTCTAGTATTATACTGTGCAACTTATTACTATTTTTATCACACTATATAATTAACATTTATTTATATGTGGTTTCTGGCTCCCTAAGTCAGAAATTAACATCATGAAGATAGGAACCTCTTCTTTTTGTACTCCTTGATTTTCCCCAGCATCTATTAAAATGCTTGCACATAGTGAACATTTAGTAAATGTTTGTTGACTGATACTGTGTGGTCAGACACAAATACATATTCACAATACAATGTAAATGGCAAGAAGGGAAGGTGGTAGGTGAAATCTTAGAAGGAGGCATAAGCTATAGTGGGTGAATGGGAATTCCTTCACAGAAAAGAGGATTAGTGAACTCAATTTTGGATAGGGAAAAGCAAATTGTCATTTTCAGCAATCAGGCATGCTGAGCCTGTATATTCAGTATTTTCTATAGTGCACAGCAAAGTTGGTAAAGGAACTATCTGTGCAAAACCATAAAATACTAGGTATATTGAAGGAATGACAGGTCAGCTAGTGTGGTCAAGTAGAAGGTCTATGGCCAGACAGTGGGGGCAAATGCTTTTGGGAGATAGTTAGCCCCAAGCTCTTCACCTTCTTCTCTTTTCATCTGTAGTGGTTCGAATCCTCGGAGATCCATGTGGCAGGACTGGTGGTGGGAGAGTGCTGCCCCACACCTAGCCACTGGAGCGCCACCTGCACCCTGCATGAGTGGCTGCAGCAGCATGGCATTCCTGGCCTGCAAGGTATGGTGACAGGCCACTGGTATGTCACAACAGAGCATAGTGTGCCTAGATGGAAAGAATCAGAAGGTTTCTGAAGTCTTTCAGAACCAAGGTCTAAGGTGACAGAAAGTGTCAAAAGTTTAGATTGGCATTTGGGGCTTGGGGAAGAAACTGAGCTATCACTCAAATGGAAAATTTCCATTATACAAAGGAAAGAATAGTATAATGAATTCCATAATCATCCACTCAAGACTGATCTTATTTCATCACCACTGTTACCATCCCTAGGTTATTTTAAAGCAAATATCAAACATCGTATCACTTTTTTAAAACTTACACACACACACACACACACACATATATTTTAGTTGTAGGTGGACACAATACCTATATTTTATTTTTATGTGGTGCTGAGGATTGAACCCAGTGCCTCATGTGTGCTAGGCAAGTGCTCTACCACTGAGCCACACCCCCAGTCCTCAAACATCATATCATTTCATCTATAGTAGTTTAATGTCTATGAGAAAAATTTTTTTTTTGAAAAGTGACTAATGCTGTTATATTTTTTAAAAATGTATTCCTTATATGCAGATAATGTTGAAATTTTCCTCAGTTACCTAATTTCTTTAAACTATTTGTTTATTTGAATTTGGCTCTAATCAAAGTTCATATGCTACATTTGGTTGCTATTACTTAAATGTAATCTATGGACCTTTAACCTATTTGAGGAAAACAGGTCATTTTTCCCTAGGAATATCCCATAGTTTGTTGGCTATATTCTTATAGTGAAAGTTAGCATGTCCTTTTTCCTTGTGGAATTAACTTTCTGTAATTGGATTGATCTAGAATTGTGATTCAATTTAGATGTGATATTCAGGGCACAAATACTTCATGGTAGTGTCCTTTGATCAGGAGTGGGGTTTTTTTGCTGTTGTTTTTTAATGTAAATGGACACAATACCTTTATTTATTTATTTTTATGTGGTACTGAGGTGCTAAGCAGGCATCCTACCACTGAGCTACAACCCCAGCTGTTTGACCAGGATTTTGATGCCCATAAAATAGTGGTGTATGACTTAGATCTCTGGAATGAAAGTGCTCCTGGATGACTTAGTTGGGGGAGTGTGATCTCTGAGACTATGCTATTTTTACAGGAGTGGACACTCGGGAGCTGACTAAGAAGTTGCGGGAACAAGGGTCTCTGCTTGGGAAGTTGATCCAGGATGGGACTGAGCCTTCAGCCCTGCAATTCTTGGACCCCAATGCCCGGCCCCTGGTGCCAGAGGTCTCCATTAAGGTACAAAGGGACAGCAGAATTTTGTAAGTGGAAGCATGTTGGTTATTTTCTGCCCACAACTGGGATAAACATGTGAGGGTGAATCAGGGGGCCTCAAAGGTAGGGGTTGGTGGAGGCATACCTTATACCTGCTGATCATAGCGGCCAACTGTTGTTGCTCTTTATTCCTTAGACTCCGCAGATATTCAATGCAGGGGGCACCCCTCGGATCCTTGCTTTGGACTGTGGCCTCAAATATAATCAGATTCGATGTCTTTGCCGGCGTGGGGCTGAGGTCACTGTGGTTCCCTGGGATCATAAATTAGACAGCCAACGTGAGTAGCTGCGGCCTGCCCAGGGCTTCAGACCAGGAGCTTGGGTGGAAGATCAATCCATCAGTCTAGTTGCTAGGAGCAACTTTTACTCCTGTAAAAATAGCATAGTCTCAGTGAAAAAGACGAGGCACCAGGGCTTCTGTTCATATGATATGTTCAATGATATCTTTTCTGCCCACTGCAGAGTATGATGGTCTTTTCCTAAGCAATGGCCCTGGTGATCCTGCCTCCTATCCCAGTGTGGTAGCCACACTGAGCCGTGTCTTATCTGAGCCTAATCCCCGACCTGTGTTTGGGATCTGCCTGGGACACCAACTGTTGGCCTTAGCCATTGGGGCTAAGACCTACAAGATGAGGTGAGACTTGTGAGAAGAGGAAGATGACACACTTGTAACATGAGGGGGGCGTGGGGTACATTGGGGACTGGAAGAGAGTCAGAGAGTATTAGTGTATGAACAAGAGTGGGGCTAGCAAGTAATGAGGGCCAGGAGAGCTAGGTTTGGCACAGAAGGAAAGAGAGTGAAAGGGGCCTGTGACTTGACATGCTTCTATCTCCAGATATGGGAATCGAGGCCATAACCAGCCCTGCTTGTTGGTGGGCTCTGGACGCTGCTTTCTGACATCCCAGAACCATGGGTTTGCTGTGGAAACAGACTCCCTGCCCGTAGGCTGGGCTCCTCTCTTCACCAATGCCAATGATGGTTCTAATGAAGGCATTGTACACGACAACCTGCCATTCTTCAGGTGAGCCTGTATAGTCTTGCCAGGGTAACTGGCAAGTGTGTAGCTTTGAAGCCCTAGGGTCTTTGAAGATGGGGAAAGTAAAGCCCAGCAGTAGAACTGAGTCCCCTCTATCCATTACCCACCTCTGAGGCTGCTGATGTCATGCTAGTGATAAAGCATCCAATCTCTTCAACAGTGTCCAGTTTCACCCAGAGCACCAAGCCGGTCCTTCAGATATGGAATTACTTTTTGATATCTTTCTGGAAACTGTGAAAGAGGCTGCAGCTGGCAACCCTGGAGGCCAGACAGGTAAGCACTCTGAGTAGAATTGGATTATGGACCTAAACTTAAGATCAACATGCCCCAGAAATACTTGTTGGAGTTTGGGAGTGGTGAGAAGATAAGCAAGCTCAGACAGTTTGTGTCACCTCTGTTAGGAACTCCAGAGTCATGAGTCCTGGGTTCTGGTGGTCCTCTCTCTGTCATTAGATACATGATTTGTTCTGAACTCTTCTGAAAGTGAAGGGACTAATCCAGATGGTGTCTTGGGTCCCACTTAGCTGTGCCATTCATTGACTTTATTTGTTTCTACAGTTCGAGAACGGCTGGCCGAGCGCCTCTGTCCAGCTGGGCTTCCTGCCCCTGGCTCTGGTCTTCCACCACCACGAAAAGTTCTGATCCTAGGCTCAGGGGGCCTCTCCATTGGCCAAGCTGGGGAGTTTGACTATTCAGGCTCTCAGGTAAGTCGTAGTCATCTGTACCCTTCAGTGTATGTGACCTGCAAATGTGAGTAGAGTCTTAAGGACTGAAGTAATGTTGATTATAGGGAGGAAGTCTGAGGATATACAGAAAGAAGGAGGTGTGGAAGGAAAGAAATCAGTTATTAGGGAACTAAGATTATAAGGAGGGGAAGAAGAAGAGTAGAAATGCTGGCCAAAGACTGTTTCAAGACTTGCTTCTATAATAGAAGCTGATGGATCATTCTTGTCCTCTTAGGCAATTAAGGCCCTGAAGGAAGAGAACATCCAGACATTGCTGATCAACCCCAACATTGCCACAGTGCAGACCTCTCAGGGGCTGGCCGACAAGGTCTATTTTCTTCCCATAACTCCTCACTATGTAACCCAGGTATGATGGGGGTAAGACTAGACTGAGGTGGGGACTCTTGGTGGATGGGGGGTTTTATGGTCACTCTGGGTTCCTAAGCTGCTTTGAGTCACTCTCTACCCCTAAGGTCTAAAGGCCTATGACTCCTCTTTCTTGCCTCAGGTGATACGTAATGAACGGCCAGATGGTGTGTTGCTGACTTTTGGGGGCCAGACAGCCTTGAATTGTGGTGTGGAACTGACAAAGGCTGGAGTGTTATCTCGATATGGGGTCCGGGTCCTGGGCACACCCGTGGAGACCATTGAGCTGACTGAGGATCGACGTGCCTTTGCAGCCAGGATGGCAGAGATTGGAGAGCATGTGGCCCCCAGCGAGGCAGCAAATTCTCTTGAACAGGTTCGAGAGCTGGTTGGGTAGTAGAGTAGTGTAATTTTCTTTTGTATTTTATTTTCTCTGGCTCTGGGCAACCTGTGGGAAGCAGAAAATAACCTATGAATTCATCTCTTCCATTCATTGCAGGCACAAGCAGCCGCTGAGCGCCTGGGCTACCCTGTGCTGGTGCGTGCAGCCTTTGCCCTGGGGGGCCTAGGCTCCGGCTTTGCCTCCACCAAGGAGGAGCTCTCAGCTCTTGTGGCTCCTGCTTTTGCCCATACAAGCCAGGTGCTGGTAGACAAGTCCCTGAAGGGATGGAAGGAGATTGAGTATGAGGTGGTGAGAGACGCCTATGGCAACTGTGTGACGGTGAGTGATTGGGGAGGGAGGGTTGGCTCAGGCAGTCTGAGCTTTTGGAAGAGCAGAGACCAGGGCTGAGATCTCTGAGAGGTCTGTGTCCCTCAGATCCAGGTTAGGCATAGCCCCAGAGATGTAGCCTCCTATCTCCTGATTCCCTTGGGCAATGACATTTGTGGCATTCCCCTTCCCAGGTGTGTAATATGGAGAACTTAGACCCATTGGGCATCCACACTGGTGAGTCCATAGTGGTGGCTCCTAGCCAGACACTGAATGACAGAGAGTACCAGCTCCTGCGACGGACAGCTATCAAGGTGACCCAGCACCTGGGGATTGTTGGAGAGTGCAATGTACAGTATGCCTTGAATCCAGAGTCTGAACAGGTGAGGCTTAGGCCCTGGAGCTGACATTGCATCAATTATCTCCTTTCTGCAATCTTTGGGCCTTGTAGTTAAGAGGTTTTCTGGCCCTGTAGACCCTGAGAGCCAGGATCAACTTTAGTAGGTTGAGCCTTAGGGAGGGCCCTTTGTTCTCTGTCCTTATGAAAAAGCTATTCTCTCTCCTTTCTGAGATCTCTTCTAGGCAGGGATTTCCAGGCTGGGTATCCAGTAACTTTTTCTCTTTTCTCCCTCATTGCAGTATTACATCATTGAAGTGAATGCCAGGTTATCTCGCAGCTCTGCTCTGGCCAGTAAGGCCACAGGCTATCCACTAGCCTATGTGGCAGCCAAGCTAGCTTTGGGCATCCCCCTGCCTGAACTCAGGTATGAGGTAGGGGGAATCTGAGTGTTCAGAGGGGGCAGGGAGGCGGGGCACAGTGGTACATGCCTATAATCCAGTGGCTTGGGAGGCTGAGGCAGGAGGATTACAAGTTCAAAGCCAGCCTTAGCAACTTAACAAAGCCCTGAGCAATTCAATGAGACCAGTCTCTAAATAAAATATTTTTTTTTAGAAAAGGCTGGACTTGTAGGTCAATGGTAAAAGCACCTCTGGGGTCAATCCCTGTTACCAAAAATGGATCAGGGGAGCTGAAGAAAATATTCATGGGGCAAGGACTATGAAAAGGATATTGGTCTGGATGTGTGGGTCAGAGCTATCTGGAAGCTCACCCTGTCCTGTATACTTTTCTCTGTCTGGCAACCCTACTTGCTGGTCCCCAGGAACTCTGTAACAGGGGGAACAGCAGCCTTTGAACCCAGTCTGGACTACTGTGTGGTGAAGATTCCTCGCTGGGACCTCAGCAAGTTCCTGCGTGTCAGTACAAAGATTGGGAGCTGCATGAAGAGCGTTGGTGAGAGTCATACCCTGGTCACCCCCACAAGGTCCACTAGGACCAAATGTTAGAGTTCCCTAGCCTGGCCTAAAAGTTCCCTGGTGCCTTTTTTAGCAGCAACTTAGAAATATGGTTTCTGAGAGCTCATAGGGACACTTCAAACTAAAATAGTCCTCATCAGGAGCAGGGTCAAAGTCACCTGGAAATGTGTTGGAAGGCAGACTTGGCCAGAGTACAAGCGGCAGATTGTCTCATCTCTCTTATTTAACAAATGAGGAAACTGAGGTGCCCCTGGGAGTAAAGTGACTTGGCTGAGGACCCACAAAGGAGTAGTGGGCAGAACCAAGAATGAAAACTAGATCGGCTTCCTAGTTGCATGCCCTGTGTTCACTGCATCACCTGTCACCTGGGAGACAAGTTCATGAAACCATGGACAGCATTTCATCCTCATGGCATTTTACCCATGGCCTCATCATTAGGTTGTTAATGCCAGTGGCATTTTATTCACTGTTAGTTTAAATACTTAAATTTCAGGAGAACAATTACTGCTGTTTTTTTGTGAACCTTTCTAAATCTGAGTCAGCCCAGTTGCAGGTATTCTTAGCCTATCTCCTACCCTGGCACTCTGTGCCTCAGTCACTAAATGAAATGTTTTTTAAAATAATGTTAAGATTAGAGCAAGGGGCTGGGGCTGTAGCTCAGTGGTAGAGCACCTGACTTGCACGTGTGAGGCAATGGGTTCTATCCTCAGCACCACATAAAAAAACAAACAAGTAAATAAAGATATGTTTAAAAAAAAAAAAAGATTAGAGCAAGCCATGAGAGATCTTAATTATAATAGGGAGCTTTATCAATGAGTATGAATGGATGTAACAGTCATTCACCACCCAGTAGTGGAGTTTAGTTGCCTTAAACTGTTCTCTAAAACATTTCAACCAAGACAAGAGTATGTATGTATGAGACCAAGTGTCACCAGCTCAGTAAATAAGAGCATTTCGTTGTGCTCCAGACTTCCATTTAGAGCACTAGTGGCCTTTAAACAAGTCTGGGCTCAGATATTATTTCAGAATTTTTAGAAATCCTACAAGACTGCCAAGTTGTTCCTTCTGGAGATGAGTTTCTGTTAAATGAAAATTATAATAATAAACATGGGAATGAAGCCATAATTAAATTATGGCTAAGAGAAGTAAATTGAAAATAGAACAATTGAAGAATGATTCCTAGCTGAAATTATGTAATAAGTGTTTTACATCTATTCAAGTATTCTTAGAATGTATTTTTTGGTAACTTTTTTATAGGATTTGTTGTACTAGTAAGATACATGAATCTTGAAAAATGAAAGATTATTTAACCAGAAAAAAAAAAATCATCTGTGATCTTGTCAGAGTTGGATTAATTTAGATATATATACACATCCAAATTTTATATATATGTGTATGCATATTTTATATATATGTGTGTGTGTGTGTGTGTGTGTCTACAAGTTATATAATTTCAGAAATTTTGTAGGTATTCCTGTATGAATGTGTGAAGTTTAACAAATTCCAAAATAAAAGGTTCTATAACCACAGTACAAAGGAATTAAAATCTTATTCCACGTGCCTATAATTCTGTCAGCTTGGAGACTGAGAAGAAGATCACAAGTTCAAAGCCTTCCTCAGCAATTTAGTGAGGCCCTAAGCAACTCAGTCAACTCAGTGAGACCCTATCTCAAAATAAAATATTAAAAAGGGCTAAGGATATGACTCAGTAGTTAAGCACTCCTGGGTTCAATCCCCATTACCAAAAAAAGAAAAGAAATTCTACTTCATTTGCACCACTATCAGCATCTTAGTGTTTTAAAATTTTGTGGAGAGGTGGTACCAGGGTTCAAACGCAAGGGCACTTGGCCACTGAGCCATGTCCCAACTCCCTTTTATATTTTATTTAGAGTTAGGGTCTCACTAAGTTGCTTAGCACTTCACTTTTGCTGAGGCTGGCTTTGAACTCAAAATTCTCCTGCCTCAGCTTCCCAAGCCACTGGAATTACAGGTGTGTGCCACTGCAACTGGCAAACTTTTTAAGAACATAAATATTAGGATTGTAAACCAGGTGCAATTGCACATGCCTGTAATCCCAGTGGCTTGAAAGGCTGAGGCAGGAGGAACCCAGTTTGAGGCCAATTTTGGCAACTAAGCAAGATCCTGTCTCAAAAAATAAAAAAGGCTAGGATGTAGCTCAGTGATAGATCACCCCTGAGCTCAGTCCTCAATATGAAAAGAAAAGAAAGAAAAAAATGATAAGAGGGCATGAGCAGAACTTTATAGAAGAGGAAATCATAAGCAGACCTGGGGAGAAAAAGTTTCCTTTCACTACTTAATAGAAATCTAGTTCAAAGTAATTAGTATTTACCAAGGGCCTTTACCCTTACCCTTGCACTTCTCAAAATTTATTAAAAGAAGCTAATCCAAAACGTCACAGCCTCATTTGTAACAATCAGCACTTAAAAGCTAAATGTCCCTCAGTAAGTTGGCAGTTAAATTATGGCAAATCACACAGAAGTTAGGTGTCTGTGAGGTCACACAGCTATGTGGGAAAATATTTATGAGAAAAAAAGGGTGGGCATTATGTATGTACTATGATCATGTATAAAATATACATATGAAAAAAGTCCAGGAGGAAAAACTCTAGAATACTTTTTTAAATGTAACTGTCTCTAGAGGGATTCAAATAGTAATGATGTCATCTTCCTGTTACCCAAACCTTTTAAAGGTCTAAAGGTTGAGGCAGATTCCAGATGGTGTCATTACAGTATAAATAAAACAAGCTGAATAACTGGGCAGCCGTCAGTGGTTCAGGCCAGTGGGATAAACTATAACATGTCACAGTATCTACATGCCCATTTTAGGCATATCAATTCCATATTTACTCATAAGCACAAAGCTTATCCATGAAAATGGCAGGAAGAAATGCTTAAAGTTTTGAGGTTTCTTAATAGTGAAATATCATGAATCCCATTACCCTGGGGCTTACCTTGAGAACCTCCCAGAGGTTTGACTAAACCATAAGTATGCTGGGCAGTGCCCTGCCCCTAAGCCCTCAGTTTTTTCATCTTGTTCCTCCAGGTGAAGTTATGGGCATTGGACGTTCATTTGAGGAGGCCTTCCAGAAGGCCCTGCGCATGGTGGATGAGAACTGTGTGGGCTTTGATCACACAGTGAAGCCAGTCAGCGATGTGGTAAGCAGCTTACCTCCTCAGGAACACCCTAGCATGGACTCTGCTCATTATGGGAGGATGTATTGTTAGACTTGTTTTTACAGGTAAGGTTATAAAAATTGCTCATGTAGTGAGAGGCAGAGCCAGGATTTGTATCCAGGATTTTGCAGATTCCAAGCCTATGCCATGGTGTTCAGCTTCTTTTTCTTAATACCAACTCAAGCACTCAGGCTTTCAGAGGTGCTGACATGAGTAGGTTGGGAATTTGTTTTTGATTAATTGATTGAGATAAGGTCTCCCTGTATTACCTAGACTGGTCTCAAACTTTGGGGCTCAAATGATTCTCCCCCTTACCCTCCTGAGAAACTGGCATGCACCACCACATCTGGTTGATTGGAAATATTTTTGGTTAGCATTCTGATCTCTCCTGCCTCTGCACAGTTCCATATCTATCTGTATTCTCCTCATCAGGAGTTGGAGACGCCAACAGATAAGCGGATCTTTGTGGTGGCTGCTGCTCTATGGGCTGGTTACTCAGTGGAGCGCCTGTATGAGCTCACACGCATTGACCGCTGGTTTCTGCACCGAATGAAGAGGATTGTCACCCATGCCCAGCTGTTGGAACAACACCGTGGACAGCCTTTGCCTCCAGACCTGCTATACCAGGCCAAGTGCCTTGGCTTCTCCGACAAACAGATTGCCCTTGCCGTCCTGAGGTCAGAGATTGTGGTGAGGGGCTTGGGCTGACAAGTGTGGGAAGAGCCTTTGTACCAGGAAGGGCCCTTGGGGAGCTTTGGAGGCTCTGGCCTTTTTCCCTGGGATATTTTCCTCTGTGATCCCTGCCCTAGGAACTTACCTCTCTGTCAGTCTGTATCCTACACCCAGGGACTGAGTTTCCCACCCTTCTCCTTCAGCACAGAGTTGGCTGTTCGAAAGCTGCGTCAAGAACTAGGGATCTGCCCAGCAGTGAAACAGATTGACACAGTTGCAGCCGAATGGCCAGCACAAACAAATTACCTGTACCTGACATACTGGGGTAAAACCCATGACCTCACCTTTCGAACACCTCATGTCCTGGTCCTGGGCTCTGGCGTCTACCGTATCGGCTCTAGCGTTGAGTTTGACTGGTGTGCTGTAGGTTGCATCCAGCAGCTCCGAAAGGTCTGAGATTTTGTGTTGCCTATTAGTTTCTCTGCTATCTGCTCAGTTTGGGTGGTTGCCTGTCATCCCTCACCTAATTCTGACTCTTCCTATTATTTGCTATACCTTTCTTCTGTCAGAGAGCTTTGGGTTGGGGCCTTGCTTAGTCCATCCAGTACTTGAGTCCCTTCCCCAACTCTTTGCCTGCTTCCCCCCAATGCAGCTGTGCTGTACAACTGTTTCACAGGAAGCTGAGCTGGCTGGCACTCTCCAGTGGGGGCTTTGGCTTAGTTTCTCCATGCTCTTCCTGCCTCCTAATTGCTAAGTGAATTCCCCACCCTGTGGCAGATGGGGTATAAGACCATCATGGTGAACTACAACCCAGAGACAGTCAGCACCGACTATGACATGTGCGACCGACTCTACTTTGATGAAATTTCTTTCGAGGTAAGGGGAATGAGGGCTGCCCTATACCTGGGTGGCCAGGGTCAAGAAAGAATGACTGACCGAATATTCTGTGGCACTTATTGGGAGTGAAGGGAGCTGTGAGCAAGAAGGCTCGGCTTCCTGACCCTCTTTGTGGCCACTGTCTATAGGTGGTGATGGACATCTATGAGCTAGAGAACCCTGAAGGTGTGATACTGTCCATGGGTGGGCAGCTGCCCAACAACATGGCCATGGCTTTGCATCGGCAGCAGTGCCGGGTGCTGGGCACCTCCCCTGAAGCCATCGACTCAGCAGAGAACCGATTTAAGTTCTCCCGGCTCCTAGACACTATTGGTATTAGCCAGCCTCAGTGGAGGGAGCTCAGTGACCTAGAGGTAGGCCTGGGTAAAGGGGCCTATAGGCTGGATGGTGTTTGTAGGTGAATGTGACCAACCCTGCTAAACTCCCTCTCCCTCTTAGTCTGCTCGTCAGTTCTGCCAGACCGTGGGGTACCCCTGTGTGGTGCGCCCCTCCTATGTTCTGAGTGGTGCTGCTATGAATGTAGCGTACACTGATGGGGACCTGGAACGCTTCCTGAGCAGCGCAGCAGCTGTCTCTAAGGAACACCCTGTAGTCATCTCTAAGTTCATCCAGGAAGCCAAGGTGAGAAGCTGCAAAGAAATCTGGGGGCAGACTCAGGGCCCTAAGGAGACTTCCCTCTGGTCCTGCAGAGTCATAGAAACAATGGGTCGGGAAGGATGGGTCACATCTTGGGCCTGTTAAAGAAAGGAAGCATCGCTCTAAGCAATTTAGCAAGGCCCTGTCTCAAAATAAATATAAAAAAAGGGATGGGGATGTGGCTCAGGGGTCCCTATGTTCAATCCCTGATACTAGGAAAAGGAAAGTGGAGGGAGCATCCAAGGGAAAGGGCAAGTCTTAGGATGGCTCTTGCCCTACATCACACTGCCTATGTCCCCCACTAGGAGATTGACGTGGATGCTGTGGCCTGTGATGGTGTGGTGGAAGCCATTGCCATCTCTGAGCATGTGGAGAATGCAGGTGTGCATTCAGGAGATGCCACACTGGTTACCCCACCACAAGACATCACCACCAAAACTCTGGAGCGGATCAAAGCCATTGTGCATGCAGTAGGCCAGGAGCTGCAAGTCACAGGACCCTTTAATCTTCAGCTCATTGCCAAGGTAATAAGGCAAAAGGAAGGGACTAAAGGGCTCTGCAGCTCCTCTATGTTCTGTACCATCCTGTGGTGCGTCTGTCCTCACTTAAGTAGACAGGAGAACTGCTGGAAAGAGCTCAGTGTTATCAGAGTTAGTGACAGTTGTTCAGGTTCATTACTCACAGAAAGAAGAGGGGAAGAGTCAAAGTTAATACAGTAGCTTCAGAATACCCAGCCTGTGCAGGCCTGACCAGTGTTTCTCTGCCCCAGGACGACCAGCTAAAAGTTATTGAATGCAACGTGCGAGTCTCACGATCCTTCCCCTTCGTCTCCAAGACACTAGGTGTTGACCTAGTGGCCTTGGCCACACGGGTCATCATGGGGGAAAAGGTGGAACCTGTAGGGCTCATGACTGGCTCTGGAGTCGTGGGAGTAAAGGTAAGGAGGATTGAAACCCTTGAGCAGAGAGCTCAATCAGCAGATAAACTGCCACCTACTTAGGCATTGCCAGATGGTGGGGTCATAGATGGTTTTTGTCCCTTTGGAGCTTACTCTCCAGGAATGGGAGGAAAAGGAAGTTGGGTCCAAAAATAGCTTTATTATGGGACAGTCAGATAAACCCACATTATCAAGGTATAAACCAAATGTGCAAGATGGTTAGATACAGAAGAAGCAACTTCCAAGAGGGCTGACCTGGGAAGGCTTAGAAGAATGGGTGGCATTTGAACTGAGTCTCGAGGATTGTGAGGATTTTTGACTTCAGAGTTTTTTGGGAAAATCCCAAGATCATTGAACAGATGGAGCAGGAACCATTAGAGAAGCTTTAGGGCGTGTGGAGCATAGCATCAGGGAAGGCCAGCATCACTGCAGGTACAATAAGGAGCAAGAACTATGTTTGTCCCTCTCCAAGGGACAACCCAGCCCTCTCTTTCATCCTGCTCTCTCAGGTACCTCAATTCTCCTTCTCCCGCTTGGCTGGTGCTGACGTGGTGTTGGGCGTGGAGATGACCAGTACTGGGGAGGTGGCTTGCTTCGGGGAGAGCCGTTGTGAGGCCTACCTCAAGGCTATGCTAAGCACTGGCTTTAAGATCCCCAAGAAGAATATTCTGCTGACCATTGGCAGCTATAAGGTACCAGAATTACAGAGGGTCATCCCTGGAGTTAGAAATGGAAGACAGAGAGACATTCCCACTTCATGCCTCTGCTTGATTTCAGAACAAAAGTGAGCTGCTCCCAACTGTGCGTCTGCTTGAGAGCCTGGGCTACAGCCTCTATGCCAGCCTGGGTACAGCTGACTTCTACACAGAGCATGGTGTCAAGGTACAACTCCCCATACTTCCCTCCTGTGACCCCAGGCTTGCCTCTCTCTTTTCCTCTGCTTCTGTGATCATGTCATGTTATTAACATGTGTTTCATGTATAACAAGTAGGGTATACAGGAAAACAAAAAGAAAAAAAGTCCTTTGTAGTTTTTTGCACTGTTAATATTCTAGCATATTTTTTTGCCAAGGCTTGCCTGTGTATGTGCTCACAAGCTCATATTGTTTATGGTCCTAGGTAACCTGTCTCATTCCATATACCTTTCCCGTCAAGAAAGATACCTTGCAAATAGCAAATAGAGGTAGCCCTGGTCCCCACTGGGGGTCCTTAATTCCTTGTTATGAACTCCTAGGTCAGCTCCCCTAGTTTTAGGCTGGCCTTCCTGACCCCTACCATGTTCAGGTTGGCCCTGACCTTAACTCTGGGCCTGCAGGTGACAGCTGTGGACTGGCACTTTGAAGAGGCTGTGGATGGTGAGTGCCCACCACAGCGGAGCATCCTGGAGCAGCTGGCTGAGAATCATTTTGAGCTAGTGATTAATCTGTCCATGCGTGGGGCTGGGGGCCGGCGTCTCTCTTCTTTCGTTACCAAGGGCTACCGTACCCGGCGCCTGGCTGCTGACTTCTCTGTGCCCCTCATCATCGACATCAAGTGCACCAAACTCTTTGTGGAGGTAGCTGAAATGGGGTGCTGGGAGGGAACCTGCTTCTCCTTTGCATGACATAGGGAGGGAATAGTGAGCACATCCTCAGTATTGGAAAAGGTCAGTGTGAAACAGCATTGCTCTGAGAATGCTTTGTGGCTACAGAGGGAGGAGCCTTGGTTTTAGGAAAGCCTGGTCCCTACCCACTACCCCTGGGTCCCCCTTCCATTAAATCAATGTTAACCATGCTCCCCACTTGCAGGCCCTAGGCCAGATTGGGCCAGCCCCACCTTTAAAAGTGCACGTTGATTGTATGACCTCCCAGAAGCTTGTGCGATTACCTGGTAAGTGCATCTCTTGGGACACTTGTAGCTGGCACAGAGCCCCTTGGGGTCTAAAGGTGGCTATGGGTCCACTCTGCCCTGGACTGTATAGACAGTGAAGGCCTCAGAATCTGTCTCACTCTGAGCCCTTCCTTCCTTAATCCAAGATGCTCTGGACTGAGGAACTTATATCATATACTTTTAATTTTCCCACTATGCCAACTCATTTATGTCCTTCCTATTTCTGAATCTCCCTCTAATATTGCTGTGCCCGTGTTTTCCCAGGACTTGTTGACGTTCATGTGCACCTGCGGGAACCAGGTGGGACACACAAGGAAGATTTTGCCTCTGGAACAGCTGCTGCCCTGGCTGGTGGTGTCACCATGGTGTGTGCCATGCCTAATACCCGGCCCCCCATTGTTGATGCCCCAGCTCTGGCCCTGGCCCAGAAGGTGAGCCACTACACCCCTGCTTCCTTGAGCCCTTTGCCCTCTTCTTTCCCTGTGGGGCCAGGTGTGATGCTAGGCTGGCCTTTGGGCATGAGTGTCAGTAGCTTTCTTCTTATGTGAATCCCCTGCAGTTGGCAGAAGCTGGTGCCCGCTGTGATTTTGCCCTTTTCCTTGGAGCCTCATCTGAAAATGCAGGGACCCTGGGTACTGTGGCAGGGTCTGCAGCAGGGCTGAAGCTCTACCTCAATGAGACCTTCTCTGAGCTGCGGCTGGACAGTGTGGCCCAGTGGATGGAGGTAGGGAGTACACCTGTGGCAGAATACCACCAAATGGTATCCCTTGGCTTAAGGACCCCAAAAGCGCTGGGCTCTGAGCAAAGAATCAAAGGCTCTGCACTCTCCCTCATCAGTTCTTTCTGCCCTCAGCACTTCGAGACCTGGCCATCCCACCTTCCCATTGTGGCTCATGCAGAGCGGCAAAGTGTCGCTGCCATCCTCATGGTGGCTCAGCTGACCCAGCGCCCAGTGCACATATGTCACGTGGCACGGAAGGAGGAGGTGAGAGTGCACCTGAGGTCCTGGTTCCCTGTTGTTTTCCCAGTAACTCTAAAGGTCAGGGTAGTCCTTGTGGGGCAGGAGAGGATGGGAGGAGGGCCTTGATCTAGCACCCTGGGCTCAGTTGGCTCATAATGCTCTGAGGAGAGTTGCCAGCCATGAGAACTTCGAAGGACAAACATGCGGGACCTCCTCCGGATCTCCTCTCTCTCTAGATCCTCCTGATTAAAGCCGCAAAGGCACAAGGACTGCCAGTGACCTGTGAGGTAGCACCCCACCACCTGTTCCTGAGCCGTGATGACTTGGAACGTCTGGGGCCTGGGAAGGGAGAAGTCCGGCCCGAGCTTGGCTCTCGCCAGGACGTGGAGGCCCTATGGGAGAACATGGCTGTCATTGACTGCTTTGCTTCAGATCATGGTGAGAAGGCCCAGCCTACTCCTCCTTTGCCCAGCAGGACTTGTGTCCCAGGTCAAGCTGTGGGACAGCCCTAGCAAGAAAATGTAAGGGGACTAGACTCTGAACTCCATAAAAACAGGATCTTGATCTGTGGAGGACCCCAGCCTCTAATTTACTGCCTGGTCTGTGGTAGGTGCTAGACAAATACTTGACCAAGAGAATAAGTGTGAGTCTATTGTAAATGAGAGAATACATGGGCTCAGGTGTGGGAGGACAGTGTTCCCACTTCCCTGGGCTCCAATTCCCAGGGGAAAAGAAAAAAAAAGCATTGAGGTTGGTAATACAAGACTACTGGAAGTACAGCCCTGGGGTGTGAATCCCCATGTATTAAGGTGATTCCCTGCCTCCTCAGAAGGTAACCTCTTTCTTTCTCCAGCCCCCCACACGTTGGAGGAGAAGTGTGGGCCCCAGCCTCCGCCTGGCTTCCCTGGGCTAGAGACCATGCTGCCATTGCTGCTGACAGCTGTGAGCGAGGGCCGCCTCAGTCTAGATGACCTGCTGCAGCGATTGCATCACAATCCTCGGAGGATCTTCCACCTGCCCCAACAGGAGGACACCTATGTGGAGGTGTGCGGGGGAGGGCCCCAAGCGAGTGGGGGACTCTAGCCCTTGGTCTGTTCTCTGGTATAACCTCTCCTTCTTGTAACCACACCCTCTGGGCAGGTGGATTTGGAGCATGAGTGGACAATTCCCAGCCACATGCCCTTCTCCAAGGCCCGCTGGACACCCTTTGAAGGGCAGAAAGTGAAGGGCACCATCCGCCGTGTGGTCTTGCGAGGGGAGGTTGCTTATATCGATGGGCAGGTACGTGTGTGGCCCCTACCTGATCTCAGTAATGACCTCTGTGGTTTTCGTTTTCTTCCCTGGGCAGCACATCTATACAGTCCCACTGCCCCCTGCAGCTGACCCTGTATCAGCTGCTTGCTGATGTCCACCTTTAGAATCCCAGTCATGGTGCTCTCTGTTCCTTTCTCATGCCCCACCCCTGCCTTCTGTCTGCAGGTGCTGGTGCCCCCGGGCTATGGACAGGATGTACGGAAGTGGCCTCAGGGGGCTGTCCCTCAACCCCCACCCTCTGCCCCTGCCACCAGTGAGATAACCACGGTATCACACTGCTCCTGGGCTGGGGCTTGTGGGGTGCCCAAGGGTAGGACCAACAGTTTGAACATTTGCATTGGTGGTCAAGGGCTCTACACTTGACCACTAAAATGCCTCCTGCAAAACAAAGTTGACTATTAGGAGGCTGCCTGTGAGTGTCACACACAAACCCACTGCTCATCCAGCCAGGGTTCTGTCTAGAACCCTGCTGCGGGGTTAACACACACCTCTAAGAAGCCAGTTTATCACTTGTTGACAAAACACCAGAAGGATGGGGCCAAGGGGAGATGGCATGGAGTAAAATGCACACACACAAGGAACAGCTCTTCCTGTGGGACTGTGAACTGTGGTTAGATTCATTACCTTTCAAAACACTGAGCCCATGTCACCACTCCAGACACCTGAAAGACCACGCCGAGGCATCCCAGGGCTTCCTGATGGTCGCTTCCATCTGCCACCTCGAATCCACCGAGCCTCTGACCCTGGTCTGCCAGGTAAGAGAGGGCTTCCTGTGGCACAGGAGAAAGGCCACTCTGACTAAAGTGTGTAGGGACGGGCTTCTCCTGCATTCTGTGTCCAAGATCAGGACTCAGTTGCCCAGGAACTGGTTCAGGCCCCTCCTCCCAGCATTTGCCTGTCCTTTTCTCCATCCCTTTGTCCTAGTTGTTCCTCATTTGCCTAAGTAAATCACCACAGCGTGAGGTAAACCTCCCACAGTTGCTTCTCACAGCCCTTTTTTTTTGTTATGGGCAGCTGTGTTCCTGCGCCCGGGAGCTGGGATCCCACAGGGCAGCAGAGTATGGGGTAAATCCTGGTTGCTGATTGGTGTGAGCCTGGCCATTCCTCTGCCTAGGATCCCTGTGCCAAGGGGGAAGGCCCTGGGAGGGCACCACTATTCCCATACAACAGAACCCCAGAGCTGCTGCACCCTCTCACCCTCCCCTAACCTGCTGTAGCTACTGTCGTGTGAGGTGGTTTAACACAGGTGCTGTGAGGCAAAGTTCCTGGGAAAATTGGTGCTCTCTAGACCACAGCTGAAAATTGGCATCTGTCCTGTTGCCCTCTTTACAGCTGAGGAGCCAAAGGAGAAGCCCTCTCGGAAGGCAGCTGAGCCAGGTAAGACTCCACTCTTGGCACACACTCATCTTGGGGACATTCCACTCTGGCCTGGGTAGGAGGAACCCTCTGACCAGCTTCTTCTGCCCCGTCCCTCACTGCAGAGCTGATGGGAACCCCTGATGGCACCTGCTACCCTCCACCACCAGTACCTAGACAGGCGTCACCCCAGAACCTGGGGACCCCTGGCCTGCTGCACCCCCAGACCTCACCCCTGCTGCACTCATTAGTGGGCCAACATATCCTGTCTGTCAAGCAGTTCACCAAGGATCAGGTGCCTGGGGGAGGGAGGGCAGGGACACCCAGAGCTTTGAGGATTTGGAAAGTTGGGGCCAGGACCTCCAGGGGCTGCTCAGCGCCTTTCCCTCTGACTTGGGGTGTTTCTTAGATGTCGCATCTGTTCAATGTGGCGCACACACTGCGTATGATGGTACAGAAAGAGCGGAGCCTCGACATCCTCAAGGTTGGGATCAGGGTTGTGGGCTGAGGGTCCCCGCCATTATCTGTCATTAGCCCCCGTTGGGGATGGGATATGCAGTGGTCAGAGGGGATCTTCCTGTCCCTGCCATCAGGTTCTTTTGTCTGCCTCCAGTCCCTGCACTGTCATCAGCTCGGCCCTCTGTTCTGGGAGGGCCTGCTGCTCTAGGCCTGATCTCAGCAGGTAGTTAGTTGACATGGGGACCTGAGCACTAGAGCATCAGACCACACTTGGGGTCATCTGGTCTGTGCCAAGTGGTCATGGGAGAAAGCTGTGGCCTTTCCTCTTCTGCTGAGTTATTCACACTCAGTGATGCTTTTTGGAGGCAGAATGCTTAGCTCAGAGACACACTAGCGGTAGAAATGTCAAGACTGTGACAGGTCACAGGGGAGGTTTGGGTAAAGAAGGATCCTCTCAACTCTCTTTGATATAAACTGGAGAGGTGAGCTCTGTCCTGTTCCCCAAGATGAATGTGCACACATGCCTTCCTCATCCTCTCCCCAGGGAAAGGTCATGGCCTCCATGTTCTATGAAGTGAGCACGCGGACCAGTAGCTCTTTTGCAGCGGCCATGGCCCGACTCGGGGGTTCTATGCTCAGCTTCTCAGAAGCCACATCTTCCGTCCAGAAGGGCGAATCCCTGGTTGACTCGGTGCAGACTATGAGTTGTTACGCTGATGTCGTCGTGCTTCGGCACCCCCAGCCTGGAGCAGTGGAGGTGAGGCCAGCTGAGATGGGTTGATTAGGCTGAACCCAAGGACTTGGGGTCCCTTCTGCCTCTGTTTCGTATCTTATTTGGGCCATATGGGTGAGGGGACTCAGGAAGGGAGGGCTGGGTTGGGGAGGGGCCTCTGAGTTGCAGAAGGCAGGATTCTCCTTCCTCATTCCATTCTTACAGCTGGCAGCCAAGCATTGCCGGAGGCCAGTGATCAACGCTGGAGATGGAGTTGGAGAGCATCCCACTCAGGCCCTGCTGGACATCTTCACCATCCGGGAAGAGCTAGGGACGGTCAATGGCATGACGGTGAGGGCAGTGACAGGGATTGGAGCCCTGCCAGGGGAGGTTCTGGAGAGAAAAGCAGTGGTTTCTCTAGTCCGGGCTATACTATACCCTGGAGATAGGCTTTGAAGTGGTGGCAGTGGTCTTCAATCTGGGTCCCTCTGGTGATGGTGTTCCTCTTCTAGATCACCATGGTGGGTGACCTGAAACATGGACGCACAGTGCATTCCCTGGCCTGCCTGCTCACTCAATACCGTGTCAGCCTGCGCTACGTGGCACCTCCCAGCCTGCGTATGCCATCCAATGTGTGGGCTTTTGTGGCCTCCCGTGGCACCAAGCAGGTGAGACTCTCACAGTCCAGCAAGCTTAGGGACCTGGGTTGAGTAGTCAGAACCCAGCTCTGCATTCCCCATGGCTCTGCCTTCCCCTCCAGGAAGAGTTTGAGAGCATCGAAGAGGCGCTGCCTGACACTGACGTGCTCTACATGACTAGAATCCAGAAGGAGCGATTTGGCTCTACCCAGGAGTATGAAGCTGTGAGTGCCGGGCTTGAAGAAGAAACAGGGCTGGAGCTAGGGAGGGCTGGGCATAGGCTGGGGCAGGGCCATTAAGCCTCAGGTCCTTTAGTTGATGTAGCTGCATGTGGGTATAGAAGGGACACTGGAGGAGCCCAAATTGTGTCCTCTATAGCCATCACTGCCCTAAAGTGCTAACAGGGACCCCATCTACCTTGCAGTGCTTTGGCCAGTTCATCCTCACTCCCCACATCATGACTCGGGCCAAGAAGAAGATGGTAGTGATGCACCCAATGCCCCGCGTCAATGAGATAAGGTGATGTGGAATCAAAACTGGAGACTACCTGGGGTTGGCTGTGGGAGGAGCGCTAGTCCTGAGTAGGCCTTCTGTGAGCTGCACAGTAACTCTTCTCCTTCTCTTGCAGCATGGAGGTGGACTCGGACCCCCGAGCAGCCTACTTCCGCCAGGCTGAGAATGGCATGTACATCCGCATGGCTCTGTTAGCCACTGTGCTGGGCCGTTTCTAGGCCCCAGTTTCCTTGGCCTCTTGTCTTCAGGCCCAGCTGCTGGGCAAGGAATCCCAGTGCCCCCCACGGGGGCAGCACACTTAGCAAACCTAGCTCACATTCACATATGCACACACGTGGTTACCAACTTCAGGCTCTAGACTGGAGGTCTCTGGCACAGGTTGCATCCTCAGATACCGGGACCCTGTCTGCCACATCTCCATTCTTGCACCGCATATCTGTACAGTTACTTTTCTACTGACTAATAAATAGCCAAGCTGCTTCAGTTCCTGCTTCTTCATGAGTTATCACAGGCTTTAGCATTCTCTGCTAAAGCCACATTCTCTGTGTGGTAGGATGAGAGACCCACAAGTCCTGACAAACAGCAGTGCCATCTTCCTGGATGCTGGGTGAATACAGCTCACCATAAAAGTAAGGCTGTGCATTGGGGCTGGACCAATGCGGTTTATTATCTTTCAGGCCCTTACTTTTCCCTCCTGTTTTTGAGCAGTCCTCTCCTTCAGTGGGTAAGGCACCCATTTCATCCTCAAAACCTCACCCTGGAGTTCTCTCACTGTTAGGAGCGCCACTCCTTCCATCCCTGGGAGCCTCTGTCTGATGTTGGCTAGAAGGGCAGAGCCTTGGATGCCTGAGGATCATTTGGCTGGAGACCCTGGGGTAGGGCACGGGGTGAAGTAGCCTGCGTATCTACAGGTGAAGTCTTGTGTGGAACAGCCATTACATCCCATGCAGTTTAGTAACGTTAGAGGAGTCTCATTACTTGTTGCAACAGACTTTAACTTGGCACACTCTGGGCCCAAGGCACCATGCACAGTGGGAATACAAGGTAAACAGTTCTCACCTTCAATTTTTAGCCTCTTGTTGAGGCACTCCATGAATCTATAGGTTAACCTGTTTCACCTTGGCACATGGTGGTCCAAACTCTTCCCAGGTTCTACAGGAAGAGCCTACTTCACCCAGAGCTATTAGCATGTTACAGAGATAGGAAAAGGGAAGGGCCCCATTTTTTGAAAACTTGGTATAAGCAGGAATTTCACACATATACCAGCCTTCCAACTATTTTTCAAATGTGGAGATGGGCTCAGAGAAATTGGTGGATAACTTCTCAGACCACTGGCCACCAGACTGCTTGACTTGAAACCCACCTTTCTATTGAAAAGGAAAAGGTTTCTGACTTTAATGCCATCCAAACAGAAGTTCGCAGGAATCAGTATGGATAGCAGTCAAAGGCCCATTGGAGTCGGGGGTGGAACTGATTCTGAGGAGGAAGGGATTCTGATGAGTGAACAAAAGGACAAAGGAGCAAGAACCATATGTACAACACAGTTTGCCATACAGTGAGGAGATGGACCACGTGCAGCAGAGGATTCCTGCTGTGTGATGTTTGGAAGCTTTGAGAGTCTAACGGCAGACCTGTGAGATTTGAGTGTTGATTCCAACAGATAAAGAATAATCTGGCTGATGTTTGAAGAAGGGTAGGGCTAGATGTGATGCTGCGTCCTCTAGAGAGCTGGGATCTCCAGTTCCACTAACATGAACCCTTTCCAGTCACTGAATCCTGTTCTGCCAGTTCCTTTGGTAACTGGGGGACTTGAGTTAGTAAATAGTTATCATTTATAGAACTCTTCTTTCCAGAGCTTCAGTCTCCTGCTTAAACTATTCTCATAAGTCAGAATATTTTCCCAGTCTTGTCACAGATTTCTGCAGACCTGGGATCCTTGTCCCCAAGTGGAATCCTTGTCTGCTGCCAGGCGGCATGCTCATTCTCCTCTGTGGCAAAGTGGTGGGAGGTGTTCCTGCCCTCCTCCTTTCTTTGGCTTCCCTAATCATAAGAGCTCTAAGTTGAATAAACTTTCCCCTACAACCAGAAGTCAGGTTTTAATACATTGGGAAAGAGAGAGAAAGAAGATATCAGCAAAGAAGAAAAACAGCCCTTTAATAATAAAACAAAATTCTCATGTCTGAGCTTGTTCCACATCCACTGAAAACCATCCCCACGTGTTCCATGTTATTGTCATTAACTATAGGCTTTAGTTTCTGTTCGCCTTTCCTCCCAAGATGCTCAATACTGAAGAGATTTGACCTATTTAATTTTTTGAAAACAGTTAACAGTTCTAATTATATGTCAAGCACTATTTAAGCATCTTAAAAATATTAATATGACACTTGCATGAACCCTGTAAATCTGCCCCCACTCTCCTGAATAAAGTCCAAACTAATGTTTACTTGTTACCACTGCAAAGTCATCCTCTCTCCAACTCCTCTGCAATCCTTGGGATGGAATAAATCTCAAAATAGTTGGTCCACCCATGTCTGATTCCTGACTGATCACTAACTATAAATGTGGACAACTGGGTGTACCTTAGAGTTTTAATTTGAAAGGGTAGAAATGAAAGTTCCCAGTATAAAACTGATAGATGTCTAATTCTGGAACAATATCCTAGGCACTGTGGGGAGACACTGGTAGAGCAAGGAATGAGGGCCAGAGTGAAATGAGTGCTCAGGGAAGACTGGCAGCAACACCTGAGAGGTGGAGGCGGGGAGCCATTCCACCATCAGGGAGGGTGATCAGGAATTGGTTGCAGTAAATGCAAATGGTAGGTGAAGAGGGTCAGGGTTGAGACAGGAATGATGTCACAAAATACTTAGCGGGAAGAGAGAAATGATCAGATGGCTAACGTCTGATTTTCAGAAATGTGAAGGAATGCTAGAGACCTCCAGGAGGCCCCAAATTCAAGTGTGAGGTAAAACAAAGGCTGAGGCAAGGACACTCATAGCAGACATCAGCTCAGTGCTTGTGGTGGGACAGTAGGTGCCAGGTCTCATGAGGGCCTGGTTACTGATGGACTGGTTTAGAAGCTGAAATCACTTGCTAAGAGACAAGGAAAAAAGAGGTGTTGGGACTGGGACCCGAATGAGCCTTAAAAAGGATGTAAACCTGAGATGAGTCCAAGGGAGATTAAGAGTTGCCAGGTGGCAGAGCTCAGGAGGAATGTAGGCCCCGCAAATTTCTAGTGGCGGTAGGCATGTCACCCACCATGGAGGACCTTAGAAATACAAATTATTGCCTCCTTGAGAGACACCAGCATAGTTACTAACACATTTTGGCAAATGCACCCAGGGAAGTCAGTGGCTTGTTGGCCCATTGGTGGTTGCTGAGGACAAAGAAGACATTTGTGGCTTTGTATTGACTTGGCAGCTGGGGATGGGTCATTGGCTCCATGCCCATTTTGTTCACCATCCCTCCATCCATTCATTCATTTACCAACAGTCATCACTGAGTGTATGCTCAGCACTAGGCTGTGAGCCGGGGGCTGTGGAGGCAAGCCCAATGTCAACTTGACTTCCTTAAAGGAGAGCACCACTTGCAGGGCATTCACCCAGCCAGCACTGCCACTGTGCCTCCCAGAAATACTGTGTGGCTCAGTTTTGGTCAGCGTCTGAAAACTTTTTATTTTGTTAAGTTTTGCTGTCCCTTTTATTTTGCAGTTTTGGTTCCCTTTTGTTTGTTCCCAGGTTTTGGGCTGCAATGATAGCCCACCACGGGGTCAAAAGAAATCAGAGACTGGGATCAGAGGTTAGGGCTAATTGGATCCTATCTGCTGAATGAACTTCCCCAGCCTCCGGATGCTGTAGCCAGAGCGCAGGTGAGCAGGGCTGGAGCAGTGCATAGGAAGTGGTAGCAAAAGGAGAGAGGGGCTGGGGCTGGGGGCTGAAGGAAGGAGGTACAGGTCCTGGCAACTGGGCCCCTCCTTCCTACCCACTCTCCCCATATGCTTTTTATCACCAGCTCTGGCCACAGGTCCACTGTCTTGGGATTATGTGTGACCACAGCTGCATTTGGGCCCTCAGACTTTGCCCCACTGGGGCCAGGAACTGCCCAGCACCAGTTGGAAGGTATTGACCAGGTGCTGATGGGTCAGCCCTGAGGTACAGACAATGAGGTCCTGGGAACTCCCTGAGTTTGAAGGAAGGAAAGTTGGGGGTGTAAAGTCCTTCAACTATGAAAGAAATGCTCCACAGAGGTGGGAGAATCTGCCAGGAAGAGGACAGGGAACCTTTCCACCCTTCCCATAGTGACTCTGGTCCAGAGATTCCCTCCAGACTTCTGGTTGCCTCTGCTGCTATGGGCCTCAGCGGGGCAATGCTCCCACTGACAGTCTGGGTCAGGACACCAGGGTGGGCTGCAGGACCCTCTTTCAGATTGGTCAGCACTAAAATCCCTAAAGGGGCTGGATGTGGATATTGCTTTGCCAGTTACCCTGGGCTTCCAAAGAGCAGGCTGCTCCCTGTTCTTCCAGGTCTTTAGTTTGCACATCTCAGACACGGCCCTCCCTCGGCCTTCCCAGTGAATTGTCTAGAGAGGAGAGCAGAGCGTGTCCCTCCACCAGCTGGGTGGCCCCAGACAGTCTCTGCAGCTTCTCAGATCCATGATCTCCTCTCTGGCTAGTCCATCTGGCCCCTTGGTCTCCAGTCTCTTAAAGAGTCTCCCAACTGTGCTTTCAGTGTGACAAACCCGGCTCTCTCCTCCTCTCCACCTCATTCCTGTTCAGCTCCCTTTGGCTCCCTTTCCTCCAGTTTCTCTGCCTGCAAGCGGGCCCTTGCCTCCCCAGTTACTCAGCTGTGTAAAGAGCCGCCAGGGCTGATGGATGGGTACTCCCTCCTTATTCTCCCGCTGGCCTCCCCTCATCCAGCCCCTCCCCTCACCTCTCCCACTGCCTCCTATTGTATGTTATTTTATCACCAGGGAATGGCATCCCAAGGAAAGGACTTCTAGATAAGCAAAGTGGAGAAGGTGGGTTGAGAATGATGAGGAGGGGTGGAGCATCCCCCGAAGATAAGGATTCCTCCCAAGGGAGGGAGTGCCAATGAATAAGGAGGCCAGTTTCCTGGTCCTCCTGTCCTTCCCTGTCCATGACAGTGATGCCTGAAGGGCAGAGAGGCAGAAGAGCAAGGAAAAAGGATTGGGGACTTTCAGCAGCCAGAACAAAGTTTGAATCTCAGTTTTGACCCTGTTTAGCTACATGATCATGGACAGTAAGCCTCAGTTTCTCCATCTGTAAGGTGTAAATACTACCTACTCACAGCGCCCTGCACAAAGTGTAAACTCAGTAAATGTTGGTTCTTGCCCCTGCAGTTAGCATGCTGGGTCACCCTATTCCCTTGAAATTTTCCCTCTCATCTTGGATTCCAACCAAAGCTAACCTTTATACTGGGCACATTTCCAGCCACAGTATCAGGGAATCTTTATCTTACCATT